TTGACCCCACGATCCTGGCACTCATTGACGTAGGCTTCGATGGCTTCACACAGAATGGAATGAGCTCCATCAAGCACGCAAAGGTCAAAGACACAGTCCTTGAAGTACTCCTGAACACACGACCAACACGCGATAACCCATTGACACAAATGTAACTCAAAATTCCAATTTTAGGGGGCATGCTCGGTCCACGTATGAGTGTCTTACATTGGGGTTGACCTTGGCGTGACACATAGCACGCATGCTCGGTCCAAGGACGAGTGACTTACATTGGGGTTGACCTTAGCGTGACACATGGCAAAAGGACCATTTTTGTCCAGCAGGATGCCACAATATCCGGAGCTCTCATAGAGCTTCTGCTCCTCTGCCTCACATTCGGGATGAGTGGTGTTGGGTTTCTTGTTACACCTTGTGCAAAAGGAAATATGAATAACAAATTAAACAAAAGACAAGTTTAGAATCTGAAATGATCCGACAGACTTTGAATACTTGGCAAATATTACGTCGAAACAAAGGATCAGACTCACTCTGGATCAGTGTTCCAGCTGTTTCCAAACTCATTGGGACTGGAGGTCAATGATCCATCTGGCTTGCGGAAGTCGTCTTTGGCATCTCCATCGTAATCTCCACACAGTCCACAGAGAAGAGTTTTATAGCTGCGGGAGTAAGGTTACAGGACCCTTCATTCCTGAACTTGTAGGGTACTACTCAGACCCCATCGACAACATGTGTTCAGGTTGTACTCACTCTTTAATCACTTTGATGTCCATAAAGTGGTTTCCGTCATAGCGCACAGTCACACCAAAATTCAAGGAGACGGTGTAGTGCTTTCCTGATTTGAACACAGAGACGCCTGGAAACGGATTCACTGGCAAGTTTACTTTGATTCCATTCACCTGGATGTGAAAAGCAGGTAAGACTCATCATGGAGCAGGCAGGGTAGGAAATGAATCAATTTGGTCAAAGTATTGCCAAAATTTCTGTCATCCATTCTTACATGGACAGCGCCACCTTTGAAGATAGAGACGTTGCCGGAATCGACATACACATGAACCGCCTTCACATAGGAGATGCTGGGTCTGTTGTAGCGATTTTCGTTGTCAGCGTAGACAGCAAAGTTTGGTAATGCAGATGCATTGCAGACTCCGGTCATCTGGTAACTGCAGTTGCCCATGAAGTTGTACTTGCGCTTGTCAAAGGTCGTGTAGTGTGGATCCCCGGACGCGATGCACGAGGAGGTACCTTCAGGGAAGACAAGTTTGGCTCACAGATGACCATTTTAAAGACCAATTGAACAAACTTAGAAGTTGGAAGTCACCAGTGGACGACCTTTTGAAGCGTTACCTTTCGGGTAGCATCCGGGGACACCGTTCACCTCGCGACACTCCTCTGTGGGATCACAGGTGTTATCCACACATTCCAAAGTGTAGTTCCCTGCACAGCGACACAGCTTGGAGCAGCCGTCTCCAAATACGATCTCTCCAGGCTAAAACGAGAGGATTGGTGTCGTCGGTCTTGGAGTTGTTGGTCTGGGTGTTGTTATATCTAAGATGTCATCGACATTCATTGTAAAAAATGCATGACAGCATTTTTTTTCATGGGTTCAATGAAAGAGAAAGTTTGGAAAAAATTATCTTACCTGTGGGATAGCAGCCCAGCTCTCCCCCCTGGACTTGACACTGGTGCATTGGGGGGCATTCAGATGCCCGACAGGTAACGAAGGGTGCGTCACACCGACACTTCAGATTGCAGTTTTCAACATAGAACTCCTCTCCGGGCTGAAACACACACGCGCGCCAAGTAGATATATGAGTTAGGTCTCGAGGTGTATTTCAAAGTCCAAGTGTTCCGTGGCTTGTCCATCTGGCAGTACCTGGTAATATTGGCCATTGGTGTATTTGCAGCCACACGAAGAGTTGGTGACACATTTGCCGGCACTCAGGATGTAGCCGGGATTACACACACAGGACTCGGTGCACGGTCCGCTGCAGGAGGGGGGTCGGCCTGCACACGTGTCCTGACAGGGGTCCGCACAGGGCTCGAAATGGCTGTTGGGAGGGCAACCAAAAGCTGCGCAGAAGGTGAGATGGCTCAAGTTAGAAGCGTGTCTTTCGAATCAATGAAGATCTGCACACATTCAGAGAGTAGGCTACAGAGTCCCATGTAAACATCTGTCGTTTCTACTCACGACAGAAGGGTAAAAAAAAATTGACCCCACGATCCTGGCACTCATTGACGTAGGCTTCGATGGCTTCACACAGAATGGAATGAGCTCCATCAAGCACGCAAAGGTCAAAGACACAGTCCTTGAAGTACTCCTGAACACACGACCAACACGCGATAATCCATCGACACAAGCGTAACTCAAAATTCCAATTTTAGGGAGCATGCTCGGTCCACGTACGAGTGACTTACATTGGGGTTGACCTTGGCGTGACACATAGCAAAAGGACCATTTTTGTCCAGCAGGATGCCACAATATCCGGAGCTCTCATAGAGTTTCTGCTCCTCTGCCTCACATTCGGGATGAGTGGGGTTGGGTTTCTTGTTACACCTTGTGCAAAAGGAAATATGAAACACAAATTAAACACAAGACAAATTCATCATCTGAAATAGTCCAACAGACTTTGAAGACTTGGCACTTGGCAAATATTACATCGAAACAAAGGATCACACTCACTCTGGATCAATGTTCCAGCTGTTTCCAAACTCATTGGGACTGGAAGTCAATGATCCATCCATCTTGCGGAAGTCGTCTTTGGCATCTCCATCGTAATCTCCACACAGTCCACAGAGAAGAGTTTTATAGCTGAGGGTGTAAGGTTACAGGAGCCTTCATTCCTGAACTTCTAGGGTACGACTGAGACCCCATCGACAACATGTGTTCAGGTTGTACTCACTCTTTAATCACTTTGATGTCCATAAAGTGGTTTCCGTCATAGCGCACAGTCACACCAAAATCCAAGGAGATGGTGTAGTGCTTTCCTGATTTGAACACAGAGACGCCTGGAAACGGATTCACTGGCAAGTTTACTTTGATTCCATTCACCTGGATGTGAAAAGCAGGTAAGACTCATCATGGAGCAGGCAGGGTAGGAAATGAATCAATTTGGTCAAAGTATTGCCAAAATTTCTGTCATCCATTCTTACATGGACAGCGCCACCTTTGAAGATAGAGACGTTGCCGGAATCGACATACACATGAACCGCCTTCACATAGGAGATGCTGGGTCTGTTGTAGCGATTTTCGTTGTCAGCGTAGACAGCAAAGTTTGGTAATGCAGATGCATTGCAGACTCCGGTCATCTGGTAACTGCAGTTGCCCATGAAGTTGTACTTGCGCTTGTCAAAGGTCGTGTAGTGTGGATCCCCGGACGCGATGCACGAGGAGGTACCTTCAGGGAAGACAAGTTTGGCTCACAGATGACCATTTTAAAGACCAATTGAACAAACTTAGAAGTTGGAAGTCACCAGTGGACGACCTTTTGAAGCGTTACCTTTCGGGTAGCATCCGGGGACACCGTTCACCTCGCGACACTCCTCTGTGGGATCACAGGTGTTATCCACACATTCCAAAGTGTAGTTCCCTGCACAGCGACACAGCTTGGAGCAGCCGTCTCCAAATACGATCTCTCCAGGCTAAAACGAGAGGAGATAATTTGGTGAGGTGAGACTTCCTTTCTTCTGAACACAAGTCGAGGTTTGGTATACTATCGTGACCTCGTAATAGTTGTTGTTGTGATCCAGACACCCGCATTTCTCCAGTGGTACACAGTGTCTCCCTTTGAAGACAAATCCCGGTTTGCAAAAGCAGCCGCTGATACAGGAGCCGCTGCAGTTGGTGGAGGGTTCCATGCAGGTGGGGATACAAGCTGGGCCACATTCTATATATTCCGCATTTGGAGGGCACTGAACTGCATGGGAAAAGCGACAGCAGCTTTGGGTGAGTAGCTATGAAGGAGCTGTTGTGTTAGGGTTTTACCAAGATAACATACTTGGCTTTGGTGTCGTCGGTCTTGGAGTTGTTGGTCTGGGTGTTGTTATATCTAAGATGTCATCGACATTCATTGTAAAAAATGCATGACAGCATTTTTTTTCATGGGTTCAATGAAAGAGAAAGTTTGGAAAAAATTATCTTACCTGTGGGATAGCAGCCCAGCTCTCCCCCCTGGACTTGACACTGGTGCATTGGGGGGCATTCAGATGCCCGACAGGTAACGAAGGGTGCGTCACACCGACACTTCAGATTGCAGTTTTCAACATAGAACTCCTCTCCGGGCTGAAACACACACGCGCGCCAAGTAGATATATGAGTTAGGTCTCGAGGTGTATTTCAAAGTCCAAGTGTTCCGTGGCTTGTCCATCTGGCAGTACCTGGTAATATTGGCCATTGGTGTATTTGCAGCCACACGAAGAGTTGGTGACACATTTGCCGGCACTCAGGATGTAGCCGGGATTACACACACAGGACTCGGTGCACGGTCCGCTGCAGGAGGGGGGTCGGCCTGCACACGTGTCCTGACAGGGGTCCGCACAGGGCTCGTAATGGCTGTTGGGAGGGCAACCAAAAGCTGCGCAGAAGGTGAGATGGCTCAAGTTAGAAGCGTGTCTTTCGAATCAATGAAGATCTGTACACATTCAGAGAGAAGGCGACAGAGTCCCACGTAAACATCTGTAGTTTTTACTCACGACAGAAGGTTTCGTTCCTCCAGGGTCCAATATTGACCCCACGATCCTGGCACTCATTGACGTAGGCTTCGATGGCTTCACACAGAATGGAATGAGCTCCATCAAGCACGCAAAGGTCAAAGACACAGTCCTTGAAATACTCCTGAACACACGACCAACACGCGATAACCCATCGACACAAGCGTAACTCAAAATTCCAATTTTAGGGCGCATGCTCGGTCCAAGGACGAGTGACTTACATTGGGGTTGACCTTAGCGTTACACATGGCAAAAGGACCATTTGTGTCCAGCATGATGCCACAATATCCGGAGCTCTCATAGAGCTTCTGCTCCTCTGCCTCACATTCGGGATGAGTGGTGTTGGGTTTCTTGTTACACCTTGGCACAGCGACACAGCTTGGAGCAGCCGTCTCCAAATACGATCTCTCCAGGCTAAAACGAGAGGAGATAATTTGGTGAGGTGAGACTTCCTTTCTTCTGAACACAAGTCGAGGTTTGGTATACTATCGTGACCTCGTAATAGTTGTTGTTGTGATCCAGGCACCCGCATTTCTCCAGTGGCACACAGTGTCTCCCCTTGAAGACAAATCCCGGTTTGCAAAAGCAGCCGCTGATACAGGAGCCGCTGCAGTTGGTGGAGGGTTCCATGCAGGTGGGGATACAAGCTGGCCCACATTCTATGTATTCCGCATTTGGAGGGCATTTAACTGTGCAGCAAAAACCAAAGGAATGACTTGGCAAGGTGGAAGGTGACTCCTGTGTGGTCCAATGAAGGACACCACCCCGCCCCAATTGTGTATGACAGGAGTGTTCAATGTTCGTCTGGCCAAGTGTATATGAACTAAAACAATTATTTGCCACCACCGGCCCTTGTATACTTTTATTTTTCAGTTTGCAGCCCTTAAAGGAAAATATTTGGACAACCCCTGATGTATGCAAAGTATCACACAGCCAACTACGGGGACAGCACGGGCCCCAAAACAAAATATGCCATACTTGGGTTTGCCGTAGTTGGTCTGGGAGTCGTGGGTTTCGGTGTTGTTGTTCCATTTGTTGGTGTTGGAGTCGGCACTGATGGTATTGGCGTTGTTAGCTCACCTTTCAATGAAAGAGTTTGAGGACTGTCAGTGAGGATAGACTGCTTGACATGGTGATTTGAACCAACTCATTTCAAGAATAGGCTGATAACAATCCAAGACAATTCACCAACATTAAAATTTCCTTTGCAAAAAGACATAATTGTTGCTCAAAACTTTCCTCTTCTTCCCATATCGGAAAATCTCATTTAAGCACCAAAAACACAGTGATGGTACCAGTGTTTAAATCTGCCGTCCACCCTGATAGATCTTTCTCTTAAGGAGCCTCCAGAGGTTCTCAATAGTATTGAGGTCAGGAGATGGTCATTTTTCTTTCTGTAACTTTTATACCAATGTCATGGTTTTCTTTTTCAATTACACAGATAACCGGAACCTACTGTAAATATTGCAAAGGATATCTAGCCAATTTGTTACCTTGACAGGCCATGACACACACGGCATCAACAGCAATATCGGTCTGAGCAGTCTCTCCAAAGGTCCCCACAATAACAAACTGAAATTCAATGTGAACAGATTATTTTTCTGCTCCACAGAACAGCGCACAGACAGAGATGGTCGTTCGACCGTTTACCTGGAAGTTATCAGTGTCGAGGTGTTGGACTTTAACAGGTCTCCAGGCTGGACCCTGGTTTCCGCTGACAGTGAAGAGAGCGGGTCCAAGGATTCCTCCTGTTTCAGTACAGAACGCAAATTCAAGTCCAGATTAGTCTCACCTCCGCGGTCAGATTGTGTGGCGCTCATCTCAATTTGGCCGCTGGAAATTGGCAAAAATCTGTGAAAAATCACACTTCCATACCCAAAAGGTCAACTGGTTGTGTTTCGCAGCACATGTGCCTGACTGATTTTCACGCATCATTCATCGTGTCAATTGGTGTCAGGTGCTAATACTTTTCGACTTTTGAGTGGTGCCAGCGAGTTTGTCGGGCTCATGACTGTGATTCAAAAGGTCTCTTACCTTTCAAGGGGTGGACTCTGAGCTGCATGGTCTGGCTGGTGCCATATAAATAGTAATGGAACGTAAGCTGCAGGCACCCAGAGGAATGGTGTATCACAGGACTTAGGATTTGCCCATCAAGTCCAGGCACAGCAGAGGAAGAATCCATCAGCATGTACGATCCAACTAAGAGGATGTTAAAGAGTAATGAGTTGCTTGGCTGCATATCCCGATGATATGGCAATCCCGCCCGCTCCGGCTACTTACATCCCGGCGTGGAGAAGTCATCATCAGGTCCTGTCCCTTCAGTTTCGGTTTGGCCAGACCATTGCTCAAAGCCATATATGCTATTGTCAGGTACGAATAAAGACCACCCACAGAAGTCATCCGTAATGTCAAAGTCGCAGCCAGAAATGCAAGCTGTGGACCAAACATTTGCCTTCACATACATAGTTGTTGGCAAACTATTGAGGTAACACCATGAGTTGACTTACTGGGACATGCTCCTTCACTAATGATGATGTTGTCAAGTGCCGAATCGCAGGAAGCGGTTGAGCCCCGCTGAGCCTCAAAGACAATCTGGAGAACCACAAGTTGGTCAGGTTTCGGCAAGGTCACCACATCAAAAATGTAGGGAGTCAAAGTAAAAGTTTTTTTAAGTAAAGTACAGATACCTGCAAAAATCTACGTATATACCATGCGTTACTTCAAAACACTGCAGACCATGGATGTGAGAGTTTAAATAATGTTACCAAGCCTGGGGTCTGGCACAGCCTCAGTGTTTCCTCGACAACCAGAATTGCTAACACGGCTGCTATTGCTTTATGGTGGCTATAAAAGCCATACGAGGGCAAATAATTCAACTGAGCGTGAGCTGTTATCTGCACGTGTTGCTGCACTGATTAGATTATTGGACAGTCCACACTTTTCCATTTCCCACACCAAAGTCCAGAGCAAATCAGGGGTGGGGAACAAATGGACAATTTGAAAACATATTTAAGTCATAAACAGTGATTTTTGGATTGGATAATGCAAACAACGAGAAGCAATTTAACTTGGATTTCATACACGGTAGAGCCATGCTCTTCCGCTCACCTGACCCATAACGCTACTCTTTATCCTAACCTCATCTGTAGCACAAACCTCAACTTTTACCCTTGACCAAACAGTCTTATTCCAAACCCTTTGCTCCGAATTCCAACCTGAACAACTAGTCCCCAGCCTCACCCTCCGATGTAACTTTATTTGAAACCTCAACCATCCAACTTCCACACCAATCCCAGAACCAACCCAAACATTGGTCCCTCACCCGACTCTCAACCTCAGGTTTGATCCACCTCCAAACCCTCACACTTAACTCTAACCGTTAACCAAACTCTAACTCTCAATCTAAATTTAATCCCTATCCAATCTTAATGCAGCAGAAACCTTAAACACAACCCTAAACATTACTTCAAAGCCTTACACACAACTATAATCTTAACACCTACTCCGAACCCATCCCAAAATTTTTACCCCAATCCCATGAACCCTCTCCCAAAACTCTTCGCCCCAACACCCACTCTCACCCTACTCTTAACCCCAATTTCAACCCTTAAACCAACCCTTAATCTTAGTCATCAACATTTTCTCCTGATTTCAAACCCTCTCCATGCATTTGAAGCCACAATGTATTGGGTGCGCTTTGCTTGAAAGCGAACACTCACAGTGAGCTCTTGATTTGTGGAATTGGACACGGTGACGGCACCCTTCAGCCACGATGGACTCTGGAAACCAGTTTTCACCCACAGCTCGTCCTCGCGATTCGGCCTCTTCGCCAGTAGCCTCAACACATTGGAATTGTCCAAGCCGTACATGTAATATCGGAATTGGACGCATATCTGCTCCGTCGCCGTTAAGAAGAACGTGGGGCTCAGCAGACGAGTGTTACGCCCATTTGCCACATTGTCACATTCCTGGTAGATGTAGAATCCACCTGGGAGAGAAAACGGATTGGATTTTTTTTTTTTTCCACAAATGATTTTAGTGTTGCCCGCCTGTGAGGTGCAGCACTGACTTCCATCTGGGTAATCTCCTGGAGGGCCCGTGCCGGGCGTCGGGGTTGGACCTTTGTGCCGGGTCCAGTCGCCTCCATCCGTCGAGTCCTGAAGGAATCTGCAGAATGGCTCGTTATCATCGTTGAAATTGCAGGATGCCAGGACAAAAGCTGGGGAGACAGAACAAAGGAATCAAAAAAAAAAAAGGACTAGACCAGTTCTGGGCAAAGAAGGGTCCCCACAGTTGAGCTCAAACTGATCCAAGCTATCCAACCCGGACAGGTCGGCAGTCAATTCACAGGGTACAGTACATGTAGACAAACAATGTTCCATCCAGCCATTTTCTAAAGCGCTTGTCCTCTTTTAGTTAAAGTTCCACCTCATATGACAAACAACCTCTGTTGTTTCCACCCTATTGACCCACGGTCTAAACTCAATTTGGTTTAGACTGATACTTTGTTCTTGGCCTACCATCCAATATTATCTATTCTTGCAGTTGAGCTAAACTCTTTCCCGCTATATTTTGGTCATTAACACCCTTACTGTACCTCATACTTTTTTTAAAGAACACACCTCTCTGTCTGTCACAGAAATCCAGAGAAAATTGCAAAAATCGGCAGTTTATAGTGATCGTTTTTTTTTTTTTTAATGTGTTTTCATCATCTTAAATACAGGTGGTGGAAAATTGTTTTAAAATATTTTGTTTGTGTCTTTACATTGCAGATTTTCCTCTGGAACTAAAATAATTTGAATGAAATAGGTCGATGTTGTTCGTCAGAAGATGGCAACCGTTCGTCACACTAGCGCACTAGATGCTAACAAAACTTGTGCTCTATAACTTACCATCGTAGGTTGGCAAGCTCTGGATGCTAAAAGAGAAGGGCACAAATCAATCATTAGACATGTCACACCTAAATATGACTCATTTACTCAAGAGGCACACCTATATTTAATGAACACATTTTTAACTTCCCGATAAGGTAAAATAAAAAAGATAACATGTATGTAAACTTTTACTTTAACACGAGAACATGATTCGTCATGTGTATATGAGCATTAAATAGTGTGATGTACTTTTATAAACATTTTTACAGGTGACCAGATTTTTTTATATACTGTATATATATATATATACACACACACACACACACTGTCACAATTACAACAAAATATAAAATTTTAGGCGAGTGATATTTGATTTCCATTTTTCCATTTCAAATCAAATTTAAATGTTTGTTTGTTTGTTTGTTTTTAATTCAATGAATGCTCATCTTGATAAAAATGTTTCAGCACCTCATATTGATCGTAAGACTATCAAAACACCGATACCTAAACTTGTAAATAATAAAAAAAAAAACTTGCGGGTAAAAAAATAAATAAATAAAAAATAAAATAATAATAATTACAAAAAAAGGTTTTAGTTGTATCATTAATAAAACATTTGTGAATTGAATGTAAATAAAATAGTTACATATTAATTATTTTAATATTTCTCTCAGAGTAGAACACAAGGAATCATTTTTAAAACAGGTATAATTATAAGATAACCCTGTTATCATAATTTATCTATATACTGTACACATTTTATATATATATATATATATATATATATATATATATATATATATATACATAAGTACAGTACACATAAGTACTTGATGAGATGTAGATCTCTTCCTTTTCTTTTGCATTGAAAAATGATCTATTTATATTATTACACAACAAGGGGTAGGACTAGATAAGTTGTATACTTCTTCCTACTCCTTTGAGCATATAACGGTGATGCATTAAAGGAAATTAGAATTTTTGAATATGATGATGAAATAATTTTATGAAAAGTATTATGCAAATGAAATAAATGGGAAATGTATGCTTATTTTGAAAGAAAATAAGGAACAAAAGTCATTATAATTCAATGAGTCCTCATGCCTAAAAAAAAACTAAATATTTCGGATTGATTGCTAATATCAGAGAAGATAAATTTATGTCTTAACTTAACTCATGTATATTTAATCTAAATCAAATAAAAGTGAACTATATTGGTGTATCTTTGTTCAAGAAAAAAAAAATAGTTGTAATGTATTTGAATATTTCTTATCACCGGAGATGATTTTATATTTCAAAGTTATTTCCATCTAACCATCCACAGTTTCGGACTCACCTTTGCTGCTTTGTCAGTGCACACATCCATAAGAGCAAAATAAGAAAGCGCATTGCATCCATGGCTAACTGTGCAGTTAGACAGGGATGAGGACACAGTAGGGGACCTCATATATAGCCACACACAGTACTGTACTTACGCCGTGAATGGCTATTGGGTGGAAACTGTACTGTATACTGTGATTGTTGCAAAATGTGTAAATCAGTAACAGTGCTTGATATGGACAGGGTGTGTCCTTTCTTTGTACGTGTGTGTCTGCTTTTTGAACTCTAAGCACTTCACACAGTGGGTGTGGATGCCCGTCAGAAATTACCTTATAAAATACCAACTTCTTCTCCGAGCATAATGCGGATTAGTGCATATTGTCTCATTCAATAATGAGAGTAAATGTGTAAAAATGTGCCTTGTACCGTGTTGCTAAAGCAGCCCTCATGTTGTACAATTCCGAATTCAACCAGTTTGACCGAAAATGTCTCAGGATTTGTTGTATAACAACACTGGTGTTGTGTAATTTGTCATTGAAATCAAAATTTGCCAGAAAAAAAACATGTCTTATAACTTGTTTTTAAAAAAGGTAACGAAAAAGCTAAATACTTGGATTTTTGCAACCTGGGCAAAACATTTTTGAAAAAATTTGGCTATTTTTTTTCAGGCAAGTTTTACTTTTGTGGGGCAGAAAACATTCATGATATTTTATCAAATAGCTTTTTTTAAAGTTTTTTTTAAGTTTTATCTTTGAGTTTCTAGTTCACTCTAAAATGCTCACAGAACTCAAGTTTTGTGTTACTTTTGGGGAGAGGAAAAAAAACATCTCAATTCGTATCGGGCTTTTTTTCCAATCAAAGTTGGACAAGCCTTTAATCTTTATCGACTTAGCCATTAATCGAGACTGGGGACAAAAGTTTACTTGGATGTAGTCTGAATGTAGGGTGTGTGTGTTGGTGTCTAGGTGTATTGCAAGTTTGTATTTATCTTACACAAGAAAGGAATGCTATTTTCTTTCACTTTTGATCTTTTAGACTTCTCTCCTTAAAATTGCCAGTCACTGAGCTGTTCCCAACAATCAACCTCCCCTGCCCCCCCCACACACACGCACACACACACACGCACACACATTTCCTTCAAGTGCTGTACTCAGTGCTTAAATATCCCAATGTAATGCCAGTAAAACAATAAAAACTGTAACATTTTGTGTCTCCAAGGGAGTGACTCAAAGGGTCATTCCACACATTTTCTTGCAATGAAAGGGCCTTTATCAACGTTGAATGGACTTTCAGCATTAAGTGATAACGTTATCGTAAACATGAATCAGACAAAACTCCACCAAAATACTGTAATAGTGCTCCACGAATCCCATGCATTTACGGTAATGAGGATAAGAAGGATATGACTTTGTAGAAAATGTAATTTATGTAGAAATTATGGGTCGATGCTCAAGAGATGATGCTGAACTGACATTGTTTCCATCCATCCATTTTCCGATCCGCTTTATCCTCACAAGGGACGTGGGGGGTGCTGGAGCCTATCCCAGCTGTCTTCGGGCAGTAGGCGGGGGACACCCTGAACCGGTAGCCAGCCAATTGCAGGGCACACAGAGACGAACAACCATTCGCGTTCTCACTCACACCTACGGACAATTTTGAGTGTTTAATCAACCTGTCATGTATGTTTGTGGAATATGGGAGGAAACCGGAGTACCCGGAGAAAACCCACACAGGCACAGGGAGACATGAAAACTCCGCACAGGAAGGCCGGAGCCGGGATCGAACCGACAACCTCTGCACTATGAGGTCAACGCGCTAACCACTTGAGCACCGGGCCGCCACATTGTTTCCACATTTATTAAATGTGAAATGTATAAGTAAATGGAAAAATAAATTATAGTATTTTTCGAATGAGAATTGGTAAAATTTAGGAATACAGTGTTCCCTCATTACATTGCAGTTTGCTTATTGCGGATTCACTCCCTCGCGTATTTTCCTTTGTAACCATAACTTCATGTACAGGTATTGCCTTTTTACCTTGTTATTTTGCCTCTTTTCTCACTGTTTTCATTCATTCTGAATCTGACGAGTCAATAAAATGTTGATTTTTATTATTTGGTGGAGGGGGGGGGGTATAAAAACGAAGTCCCTAAAAATTAGAAAGCTCGTTGACTATAATCAGTAGCTCCATATTTATTCTACATTTTGAATTTTAAAAGTTACATTTATTAACATCAACATGTGTTTAGAATGGTGGGAACCATATCGGAGGAGGGGGGTGGTAATGGCATACGAGACATGTAAATCACCCCCAACGATAAAATAAAAAAAATTAATAATTATAAAGAAAGGTCAATCTCTACTTCGCGGAAATTCACTTATTGTGGGCGTGGCATGGAACACGTCACCAGCAAAAAATGAAGGACCGTCATACTGGGAAGTTGGAATTTGAGATAGATACATTGAAGCAATCGTTTGATTGACACCTAAACGAGCTGAGGAGTTTAAATTTAATAACAAAATACATACTGCATATTTTATCACCGAATTGTTGCACGCATGCGCAGTGGAGATTTTGGCACAGACATGGTCGCTTGTGCATATTGGCTTACTAGATTTGTCTCTTTTCATTTCCAAGAACATAAACTAGCCAATTGGTCAATAATTACAGCGATTAAGCACAACCGTGATCATATTAATGTGTTTACTTTGTTGCGTTGCCTCAGCGCTGGACGTCGCCGCATTAAACTCCACCGTGTCCTTGTTGAGAAGCAGTCCGCCTTTTTCATGTCCCCTTCCACTAAATTTCTTAACACAGAAAGACAAATAAAAACGTCCACCCCCTTGTTCAGTGGTGGCTAGCGTTTCTTGCCGTCCAGAAGTGTTAAAATGTCGCATGTTTTTGTCAAATTATTAACCGTTACACATGTAAAACACAACTAAAACTACAGAATTTATCTACTGTTTGTGCGTCGCTTAAAAGCCAGACAAGTGTAACAAGGGGATACTCTTTTAAAACAGGCACTTCGGGGGGCAACCATAAAATGTCTCAAGGGTCCTGGGTGACTACCACTCTTTTTTTGGGTATTTTTCACGCAATTAAAGCATGGTCGTGGCCTAGAAGTGTTTCGCGTGCAAATTAGAAAAATTCTAATTACGTCCTCACTTATCGCAGGACAGAAAAGCCTTTTGACTTTCCTCGTCACAACGAAAATCCGTCGCAGGTGTGCTGTGCCATCTGGCGGACAAAATGAGGCACGGCCGTGGATTCGATTTACTGTACTGTACGACGAAAAGGCAAAATGTAGAATCTATGCTCGTCTACTAATAAGACAGGCGGTCCCGTCAATTATGCGCTTTCATATTGAAAAGTACTTATCAGTCGCTCGCAGTTGTACAGCTGCGATGGCCGAGTGGTTAAGGCGTTGGACTTGAAATCCAATGGGATCTTCCCGCGCAGGTTCGAACCCTGCTCGCAGCGTATAAATTATATTGACGTGGTTAACAAACTTTTTGAAGGATAAAAATGATTTTCGATAAGAAATGCTTTCAACAAGTTGTTTTCATAAGATTACAACTTTGTTTCTCGTACTGTGACTATCATATGCCTACATCATGGTAAAATTACAATTTAATTCAAAATTCAGTTATTTTATCTCGTACAGTATTTTAAAACGTGTAACAGTTGTTACCTTAACTAAGAATTGGTTCAAAGAAATATACCAGGTATAATTCTAGAAAATGTTGTTGTTTGTTATTTCCACCTGTTCCAATAAATAAACAATAATACCAAACTAGAGGACTTCGCCTGAAAAAGAAACATGAATAAATATGAAAGTGATATTATTTGATTTTAACGTTGACTGAAATTGTGATGATTTAAAAACCAAAAGCAGAAATTTTACAGAATTACATATTTTTAAGAAAAAAATAAATGCTGCACCCCACATAATCATGAATTGCTGTGTATTTATAAAATAGTGATTATTTATTTATTTGTTACATTGCAGGTGGTAGTACATAAACATCGTACATCTAATAAAGATGAGCAGAAAAAATACTGAATTAAAAAAATACATGAGTTAAAACGAATGCTGTAGCGGCTACAGTGTAGCCCAAATAAAAACAAGTAGCTGAGTAAATTTGAATACTCTACAGAGATTTTCATTTACCATTGTTTAGATACAATGAACACTTTACCCCAAATAAAAATTGACCATAAAATGTTATTAAAGGAAATACGGTACAGAGTCAAATATTTTACATTGGGTTCGACAAGTAAGTGTCTCCACTTAAATTAATCACTTGAGGGAAAGAGGCAAGTGTGGGGGCAAAAAAAAAGTTTTATTGAAACGCTGTTCCAGATATGAACACAAGTCATCAATTGCTGACGTGCAACTACAAAGTGAGAAAACAAAAATATGGATTTGACTCACATTTCCTTTACCTTTTTTTCCTCTTTCAACATCACCACTGCTCTCAAGCAACCCTTCTCTCCCTACCATCAAAAAGTGAAACATGCCACTCACTCCCTCTTACCATTTGCATTTCCCTTCCCACGTTCCATATCGAATACATATGAGGCAACACATTTGCATATGAACATTCAATTAAACCTACATCCGTTTGCATCGTCACTCTGAAAAAACAATAATAGTCATAGAAAACATCTATACATAACACTATACATTCATTCCTATACAGAGAAGAGACAGTGAAATTAAAGCAGTCCGTTCCAGAAGGGAGACTGTGCACGTCTTCCAGCCTGCTTGGAAAACACAAGAGAAAAATCAAGTCAAGCCCCGGAAACAGCAGCATTTACAGCAACAACCTACCGACCTACCTACCTACATACTCAACTTACTTATTGATCGACCATTTATACCAAGTAAATACTCACAGACTACTCACCAACTTACAAAATGTTTCCTATTTACATAATTACCTAGCTAACTGCACACCTACCTACCGAAGCACAAACCTGTTGCCTCCCAACCACTAAATCAATGCATACGACCAACGTAAAACCTACTTTCCGACCGACCAACTAATTACTGACCGACTTACAGAATGTAACTACAGTACTTACCTATCTTCCAATTAAAAACATTTATTTAACATATATTTATTTACCAGCCAAGCAGCCCACTTTGCACACATAACCACCTACCTATTCCACATAAATACTTGCCTACGTTGCTATATACTTAACTACCTATCAATCTACATACTTACAAACTTATCTACCATCTACCCTCCAACTAAACACTGCAAAGAAAACACCTACCGGTACTTACATATCAACCCACCTACCTACGTAACGACCTACCTCCTTAGATAGAATACTGAGAACCTTTCAACCTTCTTGGCCTTACCAACTCACAACTTTTCAACCTACCGACCAACTAAATACTTGCTGACTGACCTGCTTCTACACTCTACCTACATCACTACCTATCTAACCAACGTTACAATATGTGTTTTGGCCGAAGTAAAAATAACATACATACAGTCCTACCCGTCGCTATGCGGGTCTGACGAGAAAGGGCAGCTACCACATCGCGAGCTGTGTTTATATAATTGGTGTTGATCGGAAGCCGGGAGAATTTGACTTGTCACTCTTGCCATGTCCTATAAAAAGCTTGCTGAACCCGCCGCCACCCGCCTTCTTGATATTCAGCAGCAGCTGAAGGCATCCCAGCTCGTCTGAGGCTGTCCTTGGGTCCTCAGTCGCACTTTCTCTCTGCCTACTTAACTGCCTATCAACACGTTCAAAACGCTGACCAACCTACTCTGATACATACCTTTTGATACTCACTCTACTTTTCCGCCTATCAACTTCACGACTTACCCACCACGCTGCTTCATAAAATTAAGGATACCGAACAGTACAATTCTTTTCACTTCTATTCATGACAGTTAAGCGTTTGCAATGGGAACAGTTTGTCAGGAAGTGTATTATAAATGAATGTGTCCCTTTTTGTGTAGACCACTGGATATGAAACGGGGGACTCACTTCCTTTTCACCTGTGCTCAACCACAAAGCTCATGGTCGTCCCATCAAATGAGGGCGGGGCAATAATCCGCGGCCCTTGCTGAGACGTGATGCTGATGACCGGCTGCTTGCCTCCGGGAAGGCCTTGCTGCAGTCTGGCGACGTTGACCACATTGGAGGTCCCCGCCGCCGCCTTCCCAGTGGTCATATAGAAGGGGGTCTCCATGTACATGCCCTCGGGTTGGTGGGGCGCCGCCTTCTCCCCGCTCTCCACCAGCATCTGCGGCTGCACCAGCGTCCGGGTTGATATCAGTGGGGGCGACGTCATGAAACCAGGGTAGATCATGTAGGTGTGGCCGTATGCGGCAGGACCCAGGGCCAAAGGGGAGATCGGCATGGGGACGGGGGTCATGGGAGGTTGGGGCATGGGTACCTCGACGAAGTGGCCCGTTTCGGGGTCGAAAAGGCGTCGTGTGGATGGTTGAACAGGGGTGTCTACCAGGTAGTAGCTTCCACTGGTGGGATCCAGGAGCATCTTCTTCTGTGTGGCCTGAAACGGGTCTAGCAGAGGTGCGGGGGTGATCGCAGGGGAGAAACAATACACCTGCGGCTGATTTGCGGACATTCCCAAGGGTATGGAGTGATAAATGGTCGCTGGGGGTACATCGGGGGAGTGGGTTGCCATAGCAGCGTTGGGGCTTCTTTGGGACTTCTCCTCCTGACCTTTAGTGCCTGATGGAGGGACGTGCAAAGGAAGATTGGTTGGATGGGATCGGGTGGTAAACGCAGAAGAACCCTCTTCACTTCCGTTTCCCTGAGCCTTGACCGGAATTGTTAGGTAGTCCTCATGATCAGAGTTCTGCTCCATGACCAGAATTTCTTTTGACTCGCCGTGTGTCTTTGTCGGGTAGACTGGTAATTTCGGGGCGAACGTTTTGGCGTTGCAAGACACAGGCCCAGGGTCGTTCAGTTGCGGCGTCTTCGTGGTCACACCCACGGTGACCCCCGCAGACGCCTTGAGGCTGGAACTGACAGGAGGGGCCGTCAATCTGGCTTTGAGGCGGTCGTCTGGGTCGGCAGCAGTCCTCAGCCAGCACTCAGCTGCCGCTGCTGGTGGTGTCTTGTTCAAGCTGGGGTATGACTCGCTTCTTACTATTTCGCCTCTGAGCGCTTCCTCCTCACTGTTCTCCTCACTTGCAATCATTGAGAGTACGTGGCTGTCCATCATGGGCCGTGGCTCATTTTTCCTTTTCCATTCGTTTTTGTCGAACACATAAAGCTGCTCCATTGTTTTCACTGCTGCCTGAAGCTTTTCCAAAGCCACCTGGTTCGACATTTGTTGCTTGTCGGTAACCTCGGGCACTTTTTCTTTCTTCGAAGCCAATCTGCTTTCGATCCTTAAACTCATCTCCTCGAGGGGATTATCTATGATCCCTGGGGGCGCCTTCCCTGCCAATTTTTGTATTGCTGAACTTTTGGTGCCCTCTGGAGATGATCTCTCTTCAGATAAGTCAGATTTTGCGCTGTTTGTATTCACCGACTGGCATTTTATCACAATGGGGGAAACAGATGTAGGACCTTGACAGTCTTGGTGGCTGTTAGCTGTAGCAAAATTGGATTTATGATCCAATGAAACAAAATGATAGGAGCTTTTAACCAATTTACGCACATCTCTAACTTGGTGTATGGGCGTCTGCAGCTTCCCTTTACCTTCTCGAATGTCTCGCACCATAAAATGTGGCACTTTATCCGAGGACTCACCCTTCAAAGCTCCAGCCAAGACCCCCTGGCCTTTGGAGTCATCGTTTCTGATCAAACTGGCCGCGTTACAGCTCTGGAGATTAATTTTAATTTCCGGAGATTTGGACGCAGCAACATTCCTGGTGTCTGTCGTGTTTAAAGTGTGGTCAGATCCGAGACCCCTCTCAAGCTCTGCGTCACTGGCTACGCATTGGATGTTTGGCACAAATAAATGTGACATTTTAGTCAGTTTGCTTCCGCTCGCCGAGTACCAATCTCCCATTCCCTCTGAAGGTGGCGTCTCTTCTGGGATTTTATGGTTTTTATGATCCTGCGGAAACTGTAGCTCGTCATTCCTCCAGCATCTGAAGGCGCTATTTTGGCTGTGAAGCAAAGTCCCCTTGGATGCTTCCATCGCAACCCTTTTAGCATCCATTACTTTAGCCGGCACCTCAGAATGAGCGTCTTGCACCAGAGAGTCGCGTCTCGAGCCGCAGTCCATCATGTCGGCCAAGTCCTCCGTGCTGTCAGAGTTGCTCTCAGAGAGTTTGGAACTCTGTCTTTGCATCCCCTTGCCCCTGTGGCTGTCCCCCTTGTGGTGGGGTTCCCTCATCTCCCCCCTTTCCATCCGGCGCTCTTGCTCAAACTGCATCTTTTTGGAAAGCACATTTTGAATCACGCTGGACGCGAAGATGGCTTTCTTGTGGCTGCCCTCCATGCTTTTCGACTTAGCAGTGGCCCCTCTGCCTCTGCCACCCTGCAAACTGTTTGCGGTAACTTCATCCGTGGAACGTGATCCCGCTCCCATGGGGTTTGGAGCAACGCTAGTGCGCCCTTCTCCGGCGGACATGCCCGATTTTACGTTGCAGCGAAAATTCAGGGTCTCTGTGAGCCGTATCACCCCGCTGTGCCCTTGACCAAATTTCCTCATTAATTCTATTTTCTTCGTAGACGACCTACTATGAGGAGCTCCATTCCCATTCAGCTGCTCGGCAAAATCTGTGCTATTTTCCCCCCTTTCAGCTGTCGGCTGGGAAACAAGACTCTGGCTCACATTGGAGTACTTCAGGTCTACAAACGTAGACCATCTGTTGATCCCGCGTTCAGATGTGGAAGACTCACTGGAGGTGCTGAAGTTGATGGCATCCAAGTAAGGATAAGCCAGGCTCTTGAACGTTCTGGCCGTCAGGTTGCGCACCTCTTTGTCAGCGTCGTCCAGCTCACTAGAAGCACAACTGGAATACTCGGCGCTTTCCTTTGCCTGCAATTTGCCGCCTGGTGGGGGAATGACACCTTTTGCCCTATCACGCAGCCCCTCAAAGTTCACATCCACTCCCCCCACCGCCGAGGGGCTCGGATCTCTGGCGTCTTTGGCATGATAAACAACATTTTCTTGGATCGGGTCATTTATAGCCCGGGAAGTGGTTTTGATTGACAGGTGGACCTGTCCACCACCCTCGCCACAAGCGGCAAACTGCAAGGACGGATCACTTTCACGCAAACTGCTGATTGCCACGTCCCCCTCCCTCTTCATCATCAGCACCCCATTGCAGTTGAACGAGGCGTAATCCACAAAGGAGAACACCTGCTGGCCGTCCTCCATGTCCCACGTGGACGAGGAGGAGGAGCCGGCACCCGGGTCCGAGTCGCCGTCGTGACCGTCGGACAGCTCCGAGAGCCGGATAGCGTGCGTGGTGATGTAATGAGACTCATCCTCGGTCAGCACGGTCACGTCGTCGTCCTCCTCGTCATCGCACTCGTCGGAATCTGTTTCAATGCCCAAATCGGACATTTGTTGACCCACGTCTTCAAGCTCCCGATTCAAATGGTCAAACTCAGTCGACTTCCCGTCGGAATCTACGATCTGGAGGAGATCCGTCACCTCTTGGAGGGTCGTAGACTGCGGCGGAGGAGTCACCGCGTGGCTTCGCTCAATCTTCCCGCCCCCATCCAAGCTGACATGGAAGAGTAAAAAAAGGGGGCGAGACATTATTAACTCCTGTCTGGGCCACATGATACTGTAAGATGTGAACCAATGGCAGGCCTTACTCAAAATGAACTCATACGTTTATGTTGTTCTCAAGCAGTACAGGCCAAATCGGACTAAATTAATCACTCCTTTGTTAACAGTAACACATGTGAAAAATTACATCATAAATGTCTTAAGTGCCTTGGCCTTTTCCTGGGTTAAGTCGGTCATATTTAACGTAAATGAATGCAAGTCAATGTAAGTCTTACCCCTCTGTGGAAAAACAATCAATATGCTGCAGTTTACCGAGGCACTAAATTGTGGAACTCATCTTTGGTTGTCTGTATGAATGTATTATACTGCCCCCCGATGGCCAAGGCACTGAATTTTAGGGGGTACAGCCCAAAAAGCCAGAAGATAGCGCTCAAGTCCGAAGCGAATAGCAGAGTAGAAATTGGTGTCAGGGAAGACGTCTACATATTATAAGATTGTTGCATGTTACAGAGTAGCAAATTTCACCCACGTTGTTAGTGCTCGTTCTGGAAAGTCTTTAAGGGCGTCCATTACTCCCTATTCCCCACAAATAGCGGGGGTTTCATGAAAGTTGAAATTTGATTTTTCATTTTTCATTCTGGCGTGGGAGGGAGGGAACCGTTCCATCGTTACTTAATCGTGGAAGAATAAGTCTTCATATATTTATTTGCTGGTAAAATACTTTTAGGATGATGGTGGATGACAAAATGTTAGTATTAAGACAGATGGTACGCCACCAATTGCATTCTTCGAGGGAAGATTTCCACTGTGACATAAAAAATAAATAAAAAATTTATTTGTCTGCATTATCGTTTGACATGAGACATGATATTGGACGGATTGGACGCTACCATTTGCATTCTAGAGCGGGGGTTTCTGTTTACACACACAGGCACTTTATATAGCACAGAGTGCAGCTACGGGACTTGAGAAGATATTGTTACCTTGGGAGACCATATTAAAAATTTGTGGCCAAAAATATATCTTAATGTTATTAATGTTAATTAATGTCGAAAAACTTTATTCAAATGTAAAATTGAATAATTTTAAATGCGTTCTTAATATGCATTTTAAATATAATTAAGTAGTGTTGTTGATATTTTAAAGTCAAATAAAAATGTTTTCACATAAACATTCTGTATAGTTTTCACATTATTGAAGAACTTGTTAAAATGATGCGAAGTGAAAAAAAAAGTTTACAAGGCCTCAGATGACCTTTAAGATGGGAGTAAGTGATCTTGCCAGTGCTTGATTTGTTTTACAGCTGTCACATAGCATTAGCATTAGCATCCACGCATATGTATGTTTGAGGTGGGCGAGGGGGGTGATAAAGTGTATTTCCTCTTCATCAGAGGCTATTCCTGAACTTTTTTGTAGTCACATCTTATCAAGAGCATTCACAGCATCGTATGGATCTCGTTTAGGAAAAGGGTACAAAAGAAGTGACATGTAAAGTTGTACCTTTGGACCAAAATGGACGACTTCTTGTTGTACCCTGAGAAATGGCTGCAATGACCCTAAAATGGACCCTTCAAATTAAATCAAACGATTGACTGTGAGGGCGGCATGTTAGCATGTCCGCCTCACAGTCCAGGAGTCATGGGTTCAATACCGGCCCTGAGCCTTCCTAAGCGAAGAATGCACATTCTCCCTGTACATGTGTGGGTTTTCTCCAGGTAATTGGGCTTCCAAATGTGGATTGGGGGCCAATGCTGGGCTTTTCCCTATGGACACATTGGAACAAATGATTATTATTACGATTATTATTACATACAGGGCATATACTGTATATTATGAGCCATTGTGGGGAATCAGAAAATTCACACCACGAAACCAATTCGTCTCAGCAACATAAAATGTGTTTGGCATGTCTAACATAAGTTGAGCTACAGCAAAGTCTCAAAAGGCCATCAGGAAAAGATACAGGAAGTCCCGATATAGAGTATAGATCATAAAAATGAAACCATTTCCAAAATGACAATGAATGTATTCATTTATTTATTATTTATTTACTACTTATTATTTTAGTGTGTTTAATGATCAAATTTGAGCACAAATGTTTTCACACCACTACAATACATCAAATATTATTCCATCTTACATAGTATACATACAGGGCCCCAACCCCCACACAAACTCATTTCACGGATATTGACGCGCACTTGGGTCACGCGACGCCATTTAACCACATTTTGAACCAGCTGACCCACATGGTGTGTACATGCCAACACACCCACACTCACGCGACTCTGGGTGTCAAGTGAGGGGCCGGATTTGGATGGCCGGTGTCACACCATCCATAGTGGATATTTTTGGAAGAATGTCTTCCTAACGTACACGTCATGTGAGTTATGAACGTGATCTGGTTGTTGTTGAGAATAACAATATTGATATCAACATTGATCAATATCAATATGGTACCGATATCCAAATTTTAGGGTATTTTCTTTCTATACCTTATCAAAATTGATAACGATACATGGCAATATCAATAAAACCATTTGTGTTTTTCCATTGTTCAAGATGTTCAGTATGCATAATTGATCTGGGATATTGATACACTATCAAAATCAATACAGATATATGGTGATACCGGTAAAATAAAAGTTGTTTTAATCTTGTTCCAAGATTTTTGTATGTTGTTCGTAAAACTAAAGAGTGATGATATCCTTATTCACTGGTGTTGTGTGGCGTCAGTACACATACCGTATCGATAACAATGTTTTAACGATATCAATAAAACATGGAAGACATACAATTGATTTCCATACACCAATGTTGGAATAAATTAAATATGGACATTGCCGTTCTTTGATTTGATCAAAATCCAAACAATGCGAATGACGGAAAAAACTGAAAACAAAAACATATTGGTTGTTGATATCACCATGTATCATGATTGCGTTTGATACAGTGGTGATTCACCAGATTATAGAATATTGACATCATCTCTCCATGCAAAAACAATAAAACCAAATGTTTTTTTATGTTGTTTGCATGTTGTTTGAAGAAGTCGATATCATACAGAAATCCCGGTTGTACACTGCACGTTACCAATACCAAAACGATATCGCTACCCCACACCATCAATTATGGATATGGTGACTCTATGCCTTCTTCAAATAACATCTGAACAATAAAAAAATCAGATTTGATTTTTTTTCATAATGCCGTTTATCGCTTTTCCTCACCATATGATATTGACACATTGTGTCGCGATCCGGACCTTATCAATTAAAGGTCTCAATAATATAAACCGCATGCCCAAATTTGGGTTCCACCTGTTGTGCTGCTGCTTTGTTGTGTGACTACAACATTAGCAGGGGTCCGGGGGGGATGGGCAACCTTTTGGCATGTACCCTAAAATAGAAATCCCTTTATGGGTGGTGGGAAGTACAAAGGCAACGAGGGGGTCAGAGACGAGCCCCTCTTCCATAAAAGTGCTCTTTTATCGGAATAACCGGAAAGCTCACTGGCTTTTCTTGACCTTCGTCTTCAAGCTTCAACCTGCCCACCTTCACCACCACCACCGCCCCTCTCTGCCACTCCCAGCACCAACAACCAAACCCCCTCCCCCACTTCCCCTGTTGATAGAGGCGTGCACGTGGTTGCACTGGTGTCACTTTACAGACCAGCCGTGGACAGTGGACAGTCTTGCTGAAAAGCAGGACCGGGGCACGTTTGCTTTTTGGATCTGATCGCGTTTTGTCTCCAAGCTTGAAGTCCAAGAGGGGAGCTGCCAGGCACGCTCTCTCTCGGGTGGAGCTTGACGGAGCTGCCAAAAGTCATGCCGGCCGGCTTTCAGCAACTGGGAGGAGAGGTCAGTGGCCTTGGGAGGTGTGTTCGAAAGGGTTGTGACCGAGCAGGCCGATCGCCATCGGGATGAAAAGTTTCTGGAGTTCTTTAGTGAAAAAGCCCAGCTTCCATAAAGAAAACACTCCTGGGTTAGTTCTGCGTTTTGACCTTGAGGCCACCCCTTTGACTGCTTCTTGCACAAACAATGTCAACTGGGTATGCCTCCACGAGATTATTATGATCTAGTGGTAAATAGAATCTATCCCATAGCCAATTTTTTTCTGTTTAATTTTTATGGTAAATATTTATACTGCTTATATTTTTTTTCAAATTTGGTAGAATTATTCTTTTTTAATTTGAAAATATTATTTTTGTTTAATTAAAAAAATGTTTTGAATTAAAATCATCAGTTTTCCCATCACAAACATGAGCAATTTAGATCATAATAAATAGATCCTTATTGGATATCAATATACACATACGTGTATAGCTAACCTTAAAGATGTGTTTACTTTAAAAATATATAAATATTCATGTTATTGTGCTACAAGTATTTTGAAAATTCTGAGAGATATATTTATTAGTGTTATGATTTTTTTTCAAAATTGTTTAGCATTTATTTTAAAATATACAGTGGAGGCTCCGTTTTAGTTTTCATTTGGTAAAACCGTATTAATTTTAAAAATTATTTTAAACTACGTTTATACTAATATTTTGTTATTATTCAGACCGTAAATTGATCTAAATAATGATTTTTTTTCCCCCCTGATATTAGCTATGACATAATGGAGAAAAAAATAGGGAATTTTTTTTCTTTATTTGTACAATGAAGCTCACTGTCCAAATGAGTAAATGACTTTCAATATTATCATTGTTGTGATTATTATTATTATTATATGCTTAACTTTGTGGGGTGTCCCATTGAACAAAAAACATAACATCGGAGAGCGGAGGGAAGGTGCCATGTCTGTCACCGTGGAAACAGGTGCCTGTATTTTGGGAATATCTGGGTTATATTTATAGATGTCAATATTAGTGTGTGTGTGTGTGTGTGTGTGTGTGTGTGTGTGTGTGTGTGTGTGTGTGTGTGTGTGTGTGTGTGTGTGTGTGTGTGTGTGTGTTGCAGACGGTGACTGGAACCCTTGCCCTATCCGTGTTCACTGCTGTACTGGGATCCCTGGAGTTCGGGTACAACATCGGTGTCATCAATGCACCTCAGAAGGTACGAGCAAGATTTCATACCACTTAGATCAGTTAATCAGTTCTACATATAGTTGCTGTCAAACTAAAAAGCTCAAAAATTGCATTGAACGGTTCATCAAGTGAGGTTAAACCTCGTGGCTGTTCCTGGCGAGTCATGTGACCCGGTTCACCTTGAGTGTCACGCAAACGCCAGCTGACAAGCAAAACCAAAATAGGGGCCGAGATATTTATGTTGAACACAGGCCTTGGCGCACGACAAGCGCGAGCTCGTGACTTGATGTTGTCGTGCGCTCAGATCATCGAGGAGAACTACAACGCCACATGGGTGCACCGCTACGGACAAGCCATCCCGGCGGGGACCCTCACGTCTCTGTGGTCCCTGTCCGTTGCCATCTTCTCCATCGGCGGGATGTTGTCTTCGTTCTGCGTCGGCTTTGTTTCCGAGTGGCTGGGCAGGTAAGGGAGCCCGACTTGAAACTTGGCTTGTCGTGGCTGGCATTCATCCTGCGTGGTGCGTGGTCTGACTCAAAAATCCAATGTTGGAAATTTCGTAGACAAACACAGGTCGGCAGATCTGCAAGAGGGACGGCTGTGCCGCTGTGACGGTGGTCACAGCCGACTTCAAATGTGGTCAATCTAATCAGCCCCTTAAATGCGGTGTGTTAGTTGTGCACTAGTCTTGACGTGGTGGACATCTGCGCTGTGAAGTAGACACTTGGAGACTACCTTGATTGTTGACGTGGCCCCCATGGATGATTGAAAAATGAAGATTCAGAGGATTTGATGCACACGGTTGACATATTTATGGATAAAAATGTCAGGTCCATCTCCAAGACATTACCTCTGCTGTGCCCACCCGCTAAGCTTTTCAAAAAAAGGTCTACCAAATTGGCACAATATCTTTAAGTAGCTGGTCCATGGCCATCGGGCCACCATTAATGTCGGACCCAGGATGAAGTGCAATTGTGTCAAAAGAAGTGAACCGCTGTTGATAAATCCTAAATTCCTGATTTCAGGAGAAAAGCCATGCTGATCAACAACTTGCTAGCCTTCATGGGTGGGACGCTGATGGGCCTGTCCAAGGTGTGTCGCTCCTTCGAAATGTTGATCCTAGGACGCCTTGTCATCGGCGCCTACTGCGGTGAGCGCTTCGCCGCAGTGTCGCGCTTTTATTCCGCTGCGCCACGTTTCACGCCACTCCTTTTGGTTGGACCCCACCCCAGGGCTGGCATCCGGCTTGACCCCTATGTACGTGGGCGAGATAGCGCCAACCAGTCTGCGCGGGGCGCTGGGCACGCTGCACCAGCTGGCCATCGTCACAGGGATTCTCTTGGCGCAGGTGAGATGGCTGGTGACCATTTTTCCAATGAAGGACGGTTGTGGAATAGTCACTGATTTTCCGTTCAGATCCTGGGGCTGGAGCAGCTGCTGGGAGGTGAGGAGCTGTGGCCCATCCTGATGGGGCTGACGGTGTTGCCGACCGTCCTCCAGATGGCGCTGCTACCGTTCTGCCCCGAGAGCCCCCGCTTTCTCTACATCGTCCGATGTCAGGAGCACCACGCCAAGAGAGGTGAAATTGAATAAAATCACAAATATAATGCAATCGGTTCAGGGTGTTCCCCGTCAACTGCTCGAAGACGGCTGGGATAGGCTCCAGCACCCACCGTGACCCAAATATGATGCTGCAGGGGCTAAAGTGGGGCAACACATACTTTAGATGGGGCTATAGGACCCCCTAGATCCAGTGTAGCACCATCCTTGGTTCTTCCTTCTCCCTCCTCTTCTTTGAACATTTCTTCCTCTTATTCTTTCATTGTTTTGTACTCATCCTCCCCTCTTTCATCAATGTGATAAAATCTTTTTCACGAGTAAACAAACAAATGTGATTGACCAGCAGGAGTTAAGTGGCGTTCCCGTCGGGTTTGTAGGCCTGAGGAGGTTGACGGGGCGCCAGGAAGTGGGCGACCTGCTGGCGGAGATGAAGGAGGAGAAGAGGAGGATGGACATGGAAAGGAAGGTGTCCATCGCGGAGCTCTTCAGGTCGCCGCTTCACCGCCAGCCGATGGTCATTTCCATTCTGCTGCAGCTCTCCCAGCAGCTCTCCGGGATCAACGCGGTAAGCCGTCAACAGCACGTGAGCAAAATACATCCGGTGATGTTTTTGTCGTGCTTCCGTGCAGATTTTTTACTACTCCACCAGCATCTTCACCAAGGCCGGAGTCCAAAGTCCAGTTTATGCCACAATTGGAGCCGGAGTGGTGAACTGTGCTTTCACCGTGGTCTCGGTCAGTCGGAACAATTCTTCATTTCAGAAACGACCAAAATGCTTTCGGGGCGCTTCACTTTTTCCTCATTTTGTGTTCCAGCCGAATTCCAAAGTAGAATAAATTCGTATTTTGCCTTTAATTACAAAACAATATTGAGTCATGACGTTTTCCAACTCACAGACCTCTGGCAACAATTAGTAATTTTTTTAGTATGTGGTGAGAAGCTTGGCACTCAACCTCCATCAGGTTGAACTGGGGGCGATTTGGAAACTTGAGCCATGAAAGCCGCTACACTCTCATTCGCTGGTTTCCATGTCACTCACCTGGCCAGGCTCCACCTTTTAAAGGCGCACATACTCCAAAGTCGCAGAAACTGTCGCAGGCCACATTGTAATTACAGTCATATCTCGGTTTCGACCATAATCCGTTCCAGAAGGCTGTTCGAAAAACGATTTTTTCGAAATCCGAAACTATTTTATTAGACCATGATTAGGGGCTAATACACTATGCAGAAATAACAGAAAAAACAGATTTGCGTAAATCAAAACAAACACGTCTGCTCTCAATGAACGTTACACGAGGAAGCGTCACTTCCTTATGTACTGTAAGGAAGCCGAGATGAGTCGAGTGGCCGTTTCGGGTTTACTGAGTTTGGTCGAAAATCGATTTGCGGTCGTAATACGAGGCTTAAAAAAACTTGAATTTTTTGGTCGAAAACCGATTTCGTTGAGAATAGAGACGTTTGAAAACCGAGGTATGACTCAAATCATTTCATAATTATGAAGCCACATAATTTTTGATGTTCTCAATACTTCTTTCTGTATACACAACAAATTGATGGATAACTAGTTCTAAAATTAGAAGCCAGGAGACAAAATAGTGGCTCAATTGTTGTTATTTTTTTAATTAGGGGAGATATTTAAAAATACTTTCAATATACAAAATTATTAAGAGTGAAGACAATTTGAAATGTTGCTATTTTACCATGAAAAATGAAGTCAACAATAAGCCTTTAATCCGACCCCTGTGGTAGACAATTTGAGGATGGCGACCCCAAGAGGACAATAACAATGCCTGCACATCACAATCATATTTTATCATACAAATTTAAAATATAAATAAAATACATCAGTGGTTGCTTATTTTTGCAGATTTTTATCGATCACAGGCCATGACTACTGGACTTGTGATTTCTTAGGTTACCTTCACACAACTGCAGGGTGTGATGATGCCAAATCTGGATTCTGTTTAGTTAAATGTGATCTATTGATGAGGTCGTTCATGTTCGAAAAACAGATGCGTTCATGAAGTGTTTGGAATCGACCTGCAGTATAAAAATAGCCCTATTTTTTATGTTGAATACATTTGCAAAAATCTAAATAGTAGGAGCGAACATTTTTGATATTGTCATGATGGGTTGTTGGGTGTAGAATTTTGAGGAGGCTGCAACATAAAATATGGAAAAAGTGGATTGCTGTAAATACTTTCCAGATTTTTGCCAGGAATTAACAGCAATTTCTTGACAGCTCTTCCTAGTTGAGCGGATGGGCCGGAGGACGCTCCACATGCTGGGACTGGGCGGCATGTGTGTCTGCGCTGTGGTCATGACCATAGCTCTCAGCTTATTGGTCAGTGCACCACCCCAGCATTCCAGGCCGCCTGGAGTGGCACAGGCTATTTCCTGATGCTTGTCCTTCCAACTCCTCACAGGACACCGTCCCCGCAATGAGCTACGTCAGCATGTTGTCCATCTTCGGTTTTGTGGCCTTCTTCGAGGTCGGTCCGGGTCCAATCCCTTGGTTCATTGTCGCCGAGCTGTTCTCACAGGGTCCCAGACCAGCTGCTATGGCCGTGGCAGGTTGCTCAAACTGGACCGCTAACTTCATCATTGGCATGGGCTTCCAGTACGTTGCTGTGAGTATGCCCACTCCTATAACCCTCCCAAAAAACACAGATCATGATCCAAAGCATACCACATCATGTCATCTGTCAAAAGAAACAGGTCACTATCCAAACCATATCACATCATTCCATTCAGCAAAAGGAACATGTCATGAACCAAAACATGCCACATCACATCTAGCGAAAGGAATAGGTCATGATCCAAAGCATGCCACATCATGCCATCGATCAAAAGGAACTAATCGTGATCCAAAGCATACTATATCATACCAGTCAAAAGGAATAGGTTATCCAAAGCATACCACAACATACCTGTTAAAAGGAATGGATTGTCCAAAGCATACCACATCATGTCATCTGTCAAAAGGAAGAAATTACGATCCAACACATACAGTATCATATCAGGCCTCATCCATTGAAAGGAACTCTTTATGATCCAAAGCATACCACATCACACATCTATCAAAAAGAACTCGTGATCCAAAGCATAAAGATTCTTTATATTAGATCCTCATGATGTGGTATGATTTGGATCATGAGGGGTAACTTTCAATCGGGGATAGGTGATGTGATACGCTTTGGATCATGAACTGTTCCTTTGGATGAGAAGTGGTCTCCTGATCCAAAGCACACCACATCAAACAACCCATTAATCCCCGCGCCCAGGAGCTGTGCGGACCGTACGTGTTCCTGATCTTCGCCGCGCTGCTGCTCTTCTTCCTCGTCTTCACCTTCTTCCGCGTGCCCGAGACACGGGGCAAGACCTTCGACCAGATTTCCGCCAACTTCCACCACGCCTCAGCCGATGACGCCATGATGGACATGGATATGGAACTCAACAAGACGAGCACGGAACTGGACTACTTTGGGGACGAAAGCATTAACTGACAATTTCCATGACGACACTGGAGGGCTTTTGTTGTATTTATAATCTGAGTGTTGTGTTTAAAAAAACAAAAACAAAAAAAAAAACTAACACTTATTTCCAGGGAATACATAACGCACATTTACTAATTCCACACACTGGAATTTTTTTGCACTTTAATGATATATCTCAGTGGCTATTAAAAAGAATAATTTCAGGTCCTCAAAAGAGGAACTCAAAGAAAAAAAAAAAATTTAAAAAAACTAACACTTATTTCCAGGAAATACATAACGCACATTTACTTCTAATTCCACACACTGGAATTTTTTTGCACTTTAATGATATATCTCAGTGGCTATTAAAAAGAATAATTTCAGGTCCTCAAAAGAGGAACTCAAAGATGTTTTGTCCCATTTTAAGGTAAGACAGCAAGCTGAGCCTAAATTATCAAAACATGATCATTCTCATCATAGCGTGTGCATCAAGTTTGATAACGCAAAGCCTGAAAAGGCACAACTTTTGCAGGGAGTCTCGACATTTAGTTTAAGTCCAATTGTAAAAAAAGTAAAGTTTTTGTGATAGCATGTTAGAGACATTTGACACCTCTCATTGGCAGTTGTACAAATCCCTCATCTTAACCGTTTGGCTAAATAGCTACCTAATTGTATCTACACAACTTTTGCAGGGAGTCTTGACATTTAGTTTAAGTCCAATCGTAAAAAAAGTAAAGTTTTTGTGATAGCATGCTGGAGACATTTGACAACTCTCATTGGCAGTTGTACAAATTCTCTCATCTTCACCGTTTGGCTAAATAGCTACCTAATTGTATCTACAACCAGATGAGTGATGCCAAGTTACCAAAAAAAAAAAAGTATATTTGCATTTTTGTCATTGTGCGCCACAGTTTGAAACCAGAAATTTAAACCTCCCTCGGCCTGTAAAATATGAACGATGGTTGCCCAATTTTAAGCACGTACAAGACAGCCGGCCAACGTTGAATTGCAAAAATTTTGTCATAACGTTGCAATCAGGGAAATTTAGTCAAATGCGCATCCTGGTTAACATTTCATAGGCAGTTGGGTTCTGGAGCCTCTTCCTTTTCCATCTATACCTCTTGAGTAGATATTAATAAAAAAATTTAAAGCGTGATGTTTGTGTACATTTCCTATAAATGAACAGCAATAAAAATAACAGGACTGAATCCTCAGAATTGCAAACATGGTTTATTCACATCGACTTTTTCACATTGCACATAATCCCCTCCATGGGAAACCGAAAAAAAAAAAAATCACAAGTAAAACAAAGCTTTTCCATTTATAATTCACCCTCTAACGAGGATAACGAAGGGTACCTTTAAGAATTGTCAGGTGGTAACTAAACCCAGCCCCGTAAATGCACCTGCTTTGTTCTCCCCTCTTCAACAAAATTAAAAAGTCAAATAAAAATCAAGGCTAGTTCCTGTAGTAACTACTTGATGCATCAATTTAAAGAAAATTGTTGTTTTTTTTTAGGGAACTTGAAGCATTTCTTTTTTTTTTTTTAATCATTTCCCTTTTCAGGCCCCTTCTTAAGATGAAAATCCACACCTGTGTCTTTCCTGCCTATGGAGTAAGGTGGGGGCGGGGCAGAGGTGTTCCGAGGGGTGACGCAGGTTTAGGGGACGGGGGGGATTGAGGGTGTGCAAGGAGGGGAGACGTACGTTCTCAAATAGGGCCAGTCCTTCAATGCATGGACCTTTCAAAAACAAAAAAAAGTGAAGGAAACGTTTGAGTCATAATTTGGCAAAGCTTTTGAAAACTCATGTAGAACCAAACTGAAAGGTTCATTCCCACCCCTTCTCAAGGGTCCCTCGACTGTCCGCGAGGGACCGTCACTCCGTCGGTGCCGGGACACTTGTGTCAGCCGGCTGCTGCAAGTCAAGGTCAAAAAGGTCAATGCCATCACCCTCAATAACGGGCGGTTGGTTTACTTGCCTCTGGTGACTTGGGTGGGCTCTTCAGAGAGCCCTTCGGGGATTTGGATTTCAAGTCTCCCTTGGAGGTCTGAGGAGGGGTACCGGGTTCCGAGGCAGACTTCTCAGTTCCGTTCTGAGACAGAGTGGAAGCTCAATGCCCATAAAAACTCAAACACACACGGAATTTACTAGCAGTCGGCTCACTTTGGAGACCGATGACTCAGAGTTTCTCTGCCGTCGGCGTCTCAGCTGGCGTTGCCGCTGCTTCTGGCCCTCTGCGGCATCTGCATTGTTTTCGGACGACTCTGGTTGCTCCTCAGGTGCATTTGCCTGCTGCTGCTGATTCTGATCACCCTCCTTCGGATGGGCCGAAGCAGGTCGTGGACGGAACGGTCTGGAAACGGCGAGAAAAGCCGCATTCAATCATCAGTCAGGAAATATGAAAACCTGCAACGTTACCGCCGATATGGCCGCCAGAACCGACGCCGCGGCAGTCTTTGTGTTTGATCTCCTTCTGTGCCTTTTAGTTCGCCTGTTTCACCCTGAAAAACAATTGGCAGGTGCCATTAAAATTGAAGAAATAAACCGATGAATAAATAAATTACATTTGACTGCGGGAGCGGTCGGCGAGGCCTTTGGCGTTGCTGCAGTTGGGGTCTTCCATCGTCGGCACGCCCTTCCTCATCGACGCCGGGGGTCTGGCCGTCTGCCGGCTTGTCCCCGGGCCGCGGGAAGAACCGCCGCCGGAAGCGGCGCTTGTTGGGCGCGTAGCGGCTCCCCTTGACAGGCACCCCGCCGGGGCCAGTCACGTTGGCTGCTTCCGAACCCTTGGGGAGGTCGTTGGAAACAACTTTACAAATCTGAAGTCCTAACTTGTTCAGACAACATAAAATGCATAAAGGGATCTGAATTCTTAGGTCCGAAAGATACAATTAATCTTCCTTTTATAAAAAAAAAAAAAAAAACAAAAAAAAAAAAAACAACAAAACATCATGGTTGGCGCCATTTTTAGCAGTTCAATTCGAACCGGGGTGTGGTTGCAAGATTCCCCTTCGACTGAAAATTACATCTAAACTACACAGCGCCTGGCATTTTGACTCCTTTTGGTTGATGCTAGAAATCGGCAATTGCTTTCGTTTGCTTGGCAGAGAGCAGCAACCATTTCACATCATCCCAGACTGCACTGCGCACACGCAAACATGTCGGCCGCTTCGAATCAAATTATGCTGATAACAAACGAGAGTTTTTGAGTCAAGAGAAATTATGAAACATTTCGAACTGTGTTTTAATAGTAGGGGTCAGTGTCAGGGTTCCTTTCAACGCCTTAAAAAAAAAATCCAGTTTTTTGAAACCTTCAAAAAGTCAACCTATTTTTACAAAGACTTTCAATAGATAGCTAAACAATTTCACACAATTCAATTTTTTTTTTTTTTAAAAAAGACTAAATAAATCTTAAGATTTGGCCAGGTGAAGAAAAAAAATTTGACAAATCAGGTAATCAAACTACTCATTCTTGCCTTTGCTTTTCGCTGTCATTTTTGGCATTTCATTTTTCTCTTAAACTTGTTTTCACCATTTCATTTGACCTCTTTCTCATCCCCTTTCTCTTGCAATACTAGTCATTTTTCATATACTCGTTTTCTCAAATTTAATGTTACACTTAATATTGGAAAAAATATCTGCCATGCGTTTTTTTTTTGTTTTTTTTTAAAGTTGAAATGGCTTGTGTTGACCTTGACAGCTTCGATCACGTCGAACTCTACCACTTCGCCGTCGCCAACACTCCGGAGGAACTTCCTCGGGTTGTTTTTCTTGATTGCCGTCTGAGAAAAAGACAACAAAAGTCACCAAAACAAGTCAGCTGTCACCAAATTTAGGCCACGCTTTACCTGATGAACAAACACATCTTCCTTGGTATCATTCCTGAAGAAAGCAATACAAATCACTGTCACTCCTGCTTACAAGACAGTGCGAATATGTATTGAAGAAATAAATACCTGTTAATGAAGCCGTATCCATTACGTACGTTGAACCACTTCACTGTCCCTTGTACCAAGGTGGCTGAACCAATGGAAGCATTCGATTAAAAGCATAGCCAACTAAATCCAAACACAATGCTAAAAATGCTAACTAGCTCTGTAGCAAAGATTTAACTTGGGAATGCCTCATTGATTGTGATGCATGTGAGGCAATGATTAACTGTAAGACTTTGAAATCAAGTGCACATCAGGTCACTGGGAAGGGCCACAATGTCGTAAAAATAAAACAAGCTTTTAGTCATCCATTTTTTAAGGGGCTTTTAATTTTGATCCTAATGGTTATCACAATCCTAACATTAAATACAATCAGTGGTTCTCAATTTAAATTTACTTGAACCAGTCATCATATGGTCTTCACATTTTGACACCTTGAGACCAAGGTTTCAAACAGAAGTGGATACTGGGCAACAGAGATACAGAGAGAACGGAAGAGCCACAGAATGGCGTACAAGTAGACCTGTTTGGAAATGTTCACAAATCAAATCCGGTTTGTGAATTTCTTCCCATCCAGTGACTTCACTACAGGTATGCCTCAAGGATTTTTTTTTCCCCTCCCAGGGCTAAAACGGTGATCGAGAGACACATATCAGGGCTGAAAAAATCAATTGTAATATAAAAAAATATTTTAATTTATATTTTTAATGAATTAAAATAAAATGCTGAAGGGGTTTAACTGGGATTACACAGATTTCTGACCTATTGCACCTCCTTCTCTGGTGTAGTACCAACATCGTTATACTAACCAGCATTTACGTACTCAAAATATTTTTTATAAACATGACTTGCGCTCACACAAACACATTTACTTAAATTTCGCAATTCATATTAATTACCCTGATCTGAACACGTATACGTAGGCCAACTGGACATCACTCAAGACTGCAGACACACCATTTCTCCCCAAAAACATGACGACAGGACTACAAAAATGGCTGCGCAGGTGAGCTCACTTACGCCGTGATTAGTCAATCAACACAAACTTCGAGTCACACGTACGCCCACGATTCACCTATGATTTTCCTCTCCGCTTGTGGCTTGTCTTCCACGGGGGCCAAAGGTGGAGCGCTCTGTGCCTCGGCGTCGGCGTCGGTCATGCTGGCTGTCACTTTGCTAGATGTAAGTCCTCGTTGCGTTCCGCGATTGGCGCCCCAACCGAAAGTAGTCGGGTCCGGCGTCCACCTGCTCAGGTTTTTATCCAGGCGTAGCCCGGGGCCACCGGGCGGAAGTCACTTTCTGATTGGCGGAATGAGCGCCAGGGCGGGATTTTGGCTGATCGTCTGTGGAAGCGCAGATAAACTCTTTTTTTTCCTTCTTTTACTTTAAACATTTTTTTTTTACATTTTAATTTTTGTAACCAACATTCATCTGTCAAAAGGTTATTCACTTTTAAAATGAAAAATAAATAAAACTTTTTGAACTTCAGTACCTGCCGGACAGTGAGCGACTGGTTCGCACGTCTGCCTCAGCATGCTGAGGTCCGGGATTCAATTCCGGGCTCAGGCATAACTGTTTGAATCAAAATCTCAATTGAAAAAAATATATATATTCGGGATGTAATGTAAAATTACAACTTTCTTCTTATGATGTTGTGAATTTTACAGCATAAAATTACATCTTTATTCTCATAACAATATACATTTTTTTGTTGGCTAAAATAACGACTTGAGTGAGGTAACGCTAACACTTTTTTCATATAAAATAAAATCTAATTTCTCGCAGTTCGACCACTTATTTCACAAAAAATATGCATTATATTTTTATAACATTATCACTTTTTTTATGTAAATTAATTCTTTTTGCCTACAATTCCAAGTGTATTCTCCTACTGCTACAGCTATTTTAGATGTGAATAAAACCACTTAATTCTTGTAATGTTACCACTTTTTTTCACAAAGAAGTACTACGGTACTTTAAGCTCCTACTTACAACATTTCTGGCGAAAAATGTGCTTTGAGTCCGTAACTTTTCAACATTCACCCAAAAAAAAAAAAAAAAACGAACTTTAAACAGAATATATATCTTTTAATAAATAAAACATACATACAAAAATAGCATGGCAAAAAGACAATGAATGAAAACGAGTAGAAAGAGGAAGTGCATCAGTGTCATTCATGTCAACAAAGTCCTGGTTTTGAAAAGTTGTCTTCTGGTGTCCAGCAGTAGTCGGGCACAGTGTAAATAGTCTTATTCGCTTCTTAAGCGGGATGATTGAACTGGCCCATGAACAAAATGGCCCCCGTTGGTTTGTGCTGGATCAAGAAGAGAAAAGGCCGATCCAAAGTGAGCTCCTCCACTGCCATTCGGGAAAATAGCACAGCGGCTGAAAAGAGACACAAATGCATTATTCTCCACTGGTTACCACTTTTTCATGAGAAATTCCAACATGATTCCACTTTTTTTTCACATCAAATCAGGACTTTATGCTCCTAATGTGGCCAGGTTTTTCCCATGTGAAATTCCGACATAATTCTCGTAACGTCGTCACTTACGTTATTCCCACAGTATTACAACTCACATAAAAGTGCAGCATTTTTAATTAATTCACATAAAATGAAATACTCAAATGACAGTGGTCCAGTTATATGTGGCTGCCCTGCAATGCTGCACTGTAAAAAACACAACTTGTATTTTTGGGGGGCTAAAGCGGTGATTGAAGTTGGAATCAATCACTTTATAAAATAAATTATTGACATTTACGGTAACAATGTTCGTTGGCATAACAAAGCAAACATTTTGTGTGCTCCAAAGCAATTTGCTGTCTTGTTTTAATTACATATTTAAGTTAGGGGAGAAGCAAATTTTAAATATTTTGCTGAAATGCCCAACTTAAAATTTTATCAAAGTTTGTTGCCTTGAAATTTTGAGTTAACTCAACTTTTTTTTTTTTTTTTTGCAGTGTGTGAGCATCTGCCTCAGGTTTGAATGTTTCCAAATAAATGCCTCTCCCATCTGCAGATGAGGAAATTATTATTACCTGTTGCCGCCGCTCCCTTTGTTCCTTGCTCGTTGACCTCAAGCTTGACTGTCTGGAGAACCTTGGACACGCAAAGCCTCTCGTCGGCTAAAAAGGAAGAATCAGCCATGTATGTATTAAATGCACTGTAGTTCCACAAATAGATAGTTCTGCGCAAATAAACGTCAGCCCCTTTAAAAGAATAGATCTTGAACTTGTACAGCCGGCAATGGAAGTGAATGTTCATTGCGATACACATTTCAAATACAAGCATTCTTTCCATCGTAGGACAAAAATGGCAAGAAAAAAAAAAACGGTAAGCAATTACAATATCAATAAATATCCAGAATAAAAATGTCAAAGTCTGTTTTCTTCAGTTTTGTTGTTTGACTCACTTGTAATGCGGGTGAAATCGGCAGTGGCCAGATTGAACATGTTCCCCAGGCCCATGCTGATGAGTGCAGCCTTCAAGTTCACCTCCGAGTTCAGAGTAAACCTGCAAACAACAACAAACGCTACTTTATGCTCTTCTAGGCGAAGAGGCCAAAAAATTTGATCGGTTCTCCTAAATTATATACTTTTTTTGTGCATAAAATTCTGACTTTATTTGGGTCTTTTAAAGCATTTCTAGAATCATTTTTTCAAAAATTTTGTTCTTGTGCCGTATGTTGATTTAGAAATTTTAGTACGCTACTTTTATTTCTTTACTTTCCATCTAAATGTCTGACATCATCCTGTTTCCGTGTTGCTTTTACACGTTTAAAATTTTTTGTTTGTAAATACCTTTAAATGGTGTCCTTTTAATTATGTGAAGCACATTGAGTTACCTTGTGGACGAAATCTTGTCTTGGCTTCATTTGCGTAACATTGTGATTTATTTCTTCATAAAATTCCAACTTTACCCTCACGACTTTTCAACTTTTTCCACATGGACTTTCAGCTTTACTTTCCTAAAATTATGATATATTTTTTTTCCCCACGCAAAGCTACAACTTTGTTCTTGTGCTGTTGGGCCTTTCTTCAAAAAATGTCGATGTTACACCGTTGACATTATGACTATTTCACATAGTTTTATTCTTACAACAGTCTTGATTTTTTTTTTCCCACCTGACACGAAAACGGAAATGTTCTGACGTCATTATATGTGAAGTGACAACCTGATTCTCACAGTCGGAAATATATGCGGCACGATTCCTTACCTGGGCATGGTCAACTTTCTCCGAACGCTCCTGAGCTCGGCTCTCCATTGCCGGATCCGCTGGCTGCTCAGGTCATCGCTGAGGGCGCTGAGCGGCACGTCGGCTTCGAAAGGCGACACCAGCAGCATGCTCAGCGAGTCGCCCTCATACGGGACCTCCACGACATCATAGTCCACGCCGCTGGGAGTCACAAACTCCCCTGTGAAAGCAGTAGTCGGAGATTGTAGATCAAGAAATACGAGTATTCGAGTAGATTTTTTTTCCCGTGCTCTTTTGACGCTACCGTAGTTGAAGCGGTTGGTGAGTGTCATCATGTGAATGGGTACGGAGCTGCCATTGGCGCTGTGGAACATTCTCTCGTGCGTGAGCTTGGGGTCGAACGGAACCTTCCAGAGTCCCTGGAAGTGGAGGGCATTGAGGAGCACCAGGCGCGTCTCTTCGCTCAGCGATCCCCGGGCCAAGAACTCAGGAATGGCGCCTGCGAAAATCAGCGGCAACGGTTAAAACAGGTGACATTCCGGACACCATTCAGGATGAATTAAAAAGAATAGCACTGAAGAGAAAGAACAAGAAAGGTACAGACAATAGTCAGATTTTCTTCTCATAGTATGGTAAAAAAAAAAAAAAAAGGGACGTAAATATGACTTTAGTTTGTAATATTCCAACTTTTACTGACTGGTACAGCACTACAACTGTGACTTTTCAGTACCTGCAGTGTGGTCCAAAACCCAGGCGTTGATGACTTCCACCGCCTGGTCGGGCTTGGTGAAGTCCAATTGGTGCGGGTGGCTCCTGAAGGCCTTGGACAGGGCCTGGCGGTATCCTTTCTCCAGGCTCATCTTCCTCTCCACCATGACTCCGCTGGCCAACTCCAAACCATCCTCGGCGTGGAGGTCGCGCTGCAGGAAGCGCTGCTGTCGAGACATTCCGCGCTCTGCCGGACACATATTGCGGATCATGTCAGATGTTAGAACTGGCACATTATATGTATGTGACATGAAGACTATTTTCAATAACACGGGGTAAATATAGTGGAAAGTGACCACTTCTTTCACGTCACATTACAGATCTTGTTTGTGTACATACAACCCCTGATTAAGGAATCACACTGCGTCGGATTAGGTCGACCGCTACTCATTCGTTAAATAGGAGCGATCACCCCTTGGAGAGCTGTTGCACCAAGTGGACTGACATGAATCATGGCTCCAACACGAGAGATGTCAATTGAAAAAAAGACGAGGGTTATCAAGTAACTCTTACTGACAACCACGTTGTTTTTAATCTTGATTTCTTTTCGTGTTTCTTGAAGCCAGAAAGTTGCCATTTGAAATCACTTCTAATTTTGTGTCACGCCGAAATTTGAAGAAAGGTAAATGGATGACTGCTCTGGGAGTACTACCTTGCAGGGAAAATCCCATTGCGGCAGTCATGGCCTTGCGAGTGTTCCCCGCCGCGCCGAGCTGCGCCATCGCCAGGACGGAGGAAACGCCATACGGGGAGAAAAGCACGTTCCGGTGCGCCGAAGCTCTGGCCAAATGGCCGAAGACCTTTAAGCCCAAGTTGGTCTGTTTGTCCTGCAGAGAGCCCATCACGGCCCCGCCGCTCACGGCCGCCAAGAGAACAACGATCACGTACTTGCAAAACATCCTGTTGAGGAAAACATGGTGGGTGTTATTGTTGAAATGAACAGCTGAACTTTATTCTTAGAACATCATTTTTATTTAGACATAAAATGATGAGTTTTTTTCGAATAAAATAAGAAATGGATTAAAAAAAAAAAAAGAGAATCCCGCCTGTTTTCTCCAAACAATTTCCTGGAATATGATTGGATTATTCAGTTAAAATGATGATGTCATTCCAGTAAAGTTTCCACGGTGAGACTTGTTAGTGTTCACACTTGTCTGCCATCTGAGGCAGCAGACAAGTGTGCTTTTTGGCCGGTGCCCTTTCACTCAGGCCGTGTTTGTGACTCACTGCTAGCGTTGTGCAAACATTACAGTCCAAATTGCAAAAGATTAATCTGTCGACCCGAATGTGGCTATATTCATTCCAATAAAATGACAAATTTGCTTTTGTGATATTTTTTTCCTCATACTATTGTTTCCCCCAGTAATAACAAGACTTGTTACATTACGATTTTTTTTCCACATCATTTTATTTTTCTTGTAGTAATATGGCTGCGCAACTCTTCCTTGTTTTTTCGCCACAATACCACTTTTCTCCTAACGTCACGATTTTTTTTTCACTACACGGTTACAATCATAACAATATGACATTCTGTCGTTTTCGCCACAATACCACTTCTCTCCTAACGTCACGATTTTTTTTTTCATTACACGGTTACAATCATAACAATATGACATTCTGTCGATATTTTTTTTTTCTTGTGACATGCCATCATTTTCTCACAACTGTTTCTGGTAACAATATCGCTTTTTTTCTCGGAACATTAATCTTTCCTCACAACGGTGGCGTTTTTTTTTTTTTGTAATAAAACTTTTGTTGAAACTACTTCTTTTCCTTCTCAAACCGAAAAAGAAAAACTTGACTGTCTTATGGAACAAGCATTGCGTAACAAAAGACGCGTTATTAAATGGAGCTTGCAAACGATTCGGAATAAGTTCTTACCTCGTCGTTGGTGTCTACTAGGCTGTCTGGTTTCCTGTGGCTACTGCTTGAGTGTAAATGACTTGGGGAGTTCCTTTGCTTTTATAGGGTTTGCGCCCACTCACACACACTCACACACACACACACAGACACACACGCACACACGCACGCACGCACGCATGCAGTAAGTTGCGGTCAAGTCTGACGGCTTGTGCACACAGAGGTTATTTGTGATGATGATGTCATTTGGCACTGTCTGGAAAGGCTTCCTTTTCGTACATTGACACATCCACCCCCCTTCCCCCCCTCACTCGTTCCTCTGTTTGTCAAATGGAAAAATTCACTTCATGTTTTCTCTTTGCCACTAACACACACACACACACACACAGAGGCACACACATCCCTGTGGTATGCGGTAAGGTCACTGTCCCCATAGATGGGAAAGTGCACCCCTCGCTATGATCAATGCCATAACAATGAACAACAAAAAAAAAGTATCTCCGAAAATAGTTTTATCCTCACGAGGATCCTAATTGTGGGGAGAGGCAAACATTATTCATTCATTCCAGATAAGTCGATTTTGATAACGGCCAAATTCATTGTTTCTGTTCAGTGAAGTCTTAAAAAAAACAAAAAAAGAGTGACGAGAACCCAGTGGCTACATCAGTACTGAAAAGTCACCAAATGAGCCCTCAGTCAAAACAAACAGGAAGGGGGAGGAATATATGCCGACTGCGTGAATACATCACTGTGGCGCATATGATTGACATATCAAACCTGAGGAAGGGCCTGCTAGCTTAATGCTAACATGTCAAGGAAAATCACATTGACGTACTCACGAGTAGCATCAACGGTCGCATCCATCCAGTCATCCGTCAATCGCCAACTATTTCTGATCATCAATTGTTCGTTTAGAGACCAAGAATTATTTTTTTTAATGCTCAGAATGCAACCTTCTCAAAAGTCAATATTCTTACATTTCTTCCGTCCTTGATGAAAGAGGACGGATTGTAATTGTGTGGAATCAAAATAAAACACTGACAAACATCTGCTTTTACTTTGGAGAAAATGATCAACATTTTTGTCTATTTTCTGACATGTTACCTGCTGCACCAGTAACCAAATGATGAAGAAGTGCATTTCTGGCACTGTAAATTTAGAAAAAAAAAATGTCTACACGACTGTGCGGTGTTATACACGAGAAGGAGCAGCACAATGAATTCAATCGTAGCATGAAATCGTAATGGTCAAATTGTTTATTGCTTTACATTACAAGCGTGGCAATGCAACAAATTAAACTCGTATCTCAAGGTACTACACATACACTAAAGGGCATTTATTCTTCCACTTTGCTGGCTAATTTGGACTGGAATGTCAATGGCCGGCTTTTCGAAGCAACATACTAACCCTCGAGTCGGCATGTATTTTTTTCACATTTTTTCCACATGTACTATTTTTTCTGTATTTCCCCTAGGTACAATTCCAAATTAATTCTCATCATTTGTTTTTTTTGTGCATGCTGAGGCACAATTATTTATAAACCCCTGGCTCACCACACAATCTTTTTTTGGTTTTATCTCTAATACAGTAGTTCCTGTGAGCTCTTGCTGCAGGGTGACACATTAAAAGAGGATATTTTCAAGGGAATACCAGCATTCCTTATCATGCTACTCACCAAGCATCTGGTACAAACGGGAAGTAACATGATTTTTCCATTCTGTGTGGGGGGTCAGACATTTGTCAACCCTAAAAAATTCCCAATGGGCTAATTTCTTATCTAACTGGGAGACTTATAGGCACCGACACCATAAATGGAAAGGGAAAGTTTTAGACACACTTGGACAATAGTGTCTGAATATAAAAAGATCCATCAGTACATCTGTTTGCCATTAGCCTCGTAACCCTGTGACTTTTTTTCCTCCACGAGCCGTAAAATCCATAAAACCTTACACATGGCAAAAACATCCAAAAGCACATTTGAGGAGTTTGCTATACTCACGTCCTACGTCCTAAAAACAAAGAGCAATAGTGTATGTAAAAATATTTTGAAAAGGCGTAGTATGATGAGAATTTTTGGGGGACTTGTATGTATGCATGTATTAACCTTAGTTTTCTGTTTCCGATGATGGCGTCTATCGCCATGTCAACCGTCCAGTACATACAAGCTGTGACAGGCGGATTGTATAATAGGAGCGTGAGTGCGTTGTTTTCAAGTTGGCCGCCGCCTTGTTGACTCAGCAACACTTCATCCTTTCCATTCCTTCTTACCATTCGATGACTCTTGCCATATGCTCACTTCAATGACTTCCTTCACACCGACATGGAAATAGTGAAAAAAATCAAATACTATAATGTCTTCATCACAGTAAGATATAACACATGACTAGGATTAAAAAAAAAGTTTTTAAAAAAAAACCCACTCCAATAATGAAAGTAAAAGGATTGCATAAAAGGAAGGATGGAATGGAGTGATGGAAAGAAGGAATTTAGTTGGGTTAGAAGAAGGAAGGATGGAAGGTAGGCATGAAGGAACGAAAGATGGAAGGAAGGAAGGAAGTCTGAATGCAAGAAAGCAAACAAGGAAGCATGAAAGGAAGGGAAAGGAGAGGATCGAGATAAAGGATGCAAGTTAGGAAGTATTATAATAAAGAAGGATGTATAAAAGAAAGGAAAGAAGTATGGAGGAAGGAAGAATAGATGGAAGAATTGAAGTAAGGAAAGAAGGAAGGAAGAAAGGATGTATGAAGGAACCAAATTTGTATCAAAGGATGCATGGGTTCCTGGGAAGAAGGAAACAAGGATGGGCGGAAGGAAGTAAAGAAGAGTTATATTAAAGAGAGGGTGAAGGGACAACGGAATGATGTCAAACCTTGATTTTAAACCCAAACACTTGCCGCGTAACCCTAATTTGAAACCTTAATACATCTTTAAAACGCTACACCTGGTTTACTGATCAGTCCAAACCCAGTCTACTGACATCACGTTCAACCTGATTTGAATCTAAGTTTTAAAACTGGCGAGCGACATTAAAATATGTTTAATCAATGTAATTTTTAATTGGAAAAAAATGTGTAAATGTATCCAAAACAACGTTTAGCCCACCTTGTTTTAGAAAACGCCGATTTAATGACGTTTCAAATTGACGTTTCAAATCGACGACGGTGCGGTAAACGGAGGTGTTTGAACGCACCAGGCGCGTTTAAATGACGTCATGGGTTCGCGCCGCCATGTGTAAACCAAACTGGACGTTAACGTGCATATTTACGCTTGATTTACATTTAAATTTTAATTACACTCATATGTTAGACAACCGTTTGTATTTAAGCACGTCTTTTCTTTTTGGGGGATTGTTAAAATAAATACTACGAACACTCGTGAGTCGTTTACTTTGCGCCTTTTGCAGGAGGACGTGTAAATTAACCAATGGATGATGACGAGAGCGTTCAGACCGATGACAACAAACTCCTAAATAATCATAATATTCACAATAAAAATACAGCAGACGATAACAAAGAAGACGGAGAAGCCACCGAGAAGCAGGCTTTGTCCAAAAGGCAAAGAAAGAAGCTTCTAAAGCAGCAGAAATGGGAGGAGGAGAGGGACATGAGAAAGTAAGATGACAATTTCGAAAGAAAGAAATGAATTAATGAATAATTAAATCCATTCTTGTACCCGGATTAAACCACGCACACAAAGTGGAAAAAATACAGAATTTTACAATAAATAATGATTGTTTATTTTTTGCAAGAGATCGACCAGATTAGTTTGACGTGTTGTGATACAGGCAGAAGCGCAAGGACAGGAAGCAGCAGCGGCGGCAGCAGAGACAAAATAACCAACAAGATGATGAAGGCGAACACCGAGGTGCCAGGAAGCGCCTGCGGCGAGAAGCTACACCCACCTCACTCAGGCTGGTGGTGGACTGTAGTTTTGATGACCTTATGTTAACCAAGGTAAAACCTATCCATTCCAACATCTGCTTCTCAATTCTCAATGCTTCCCCTCTCCTCAGGATGTGCACAAGCTTCACAAGCAGATCCAGAGGTGCTATGCTGAAAACAGACGAGCCTCGCATCCAGTCCAGGTGGGTCGCCTGTCATTTTGGGACATTTTATTCATAATTCTGTCGTCGAAGGATGACTGGCAGTGAAGAAAAAAAATGCACATTTGGAGTGATTGTTTTTCCACTTCACATCAGTACAGCTGCAAATAACAAAAACCACATCGTACTAAACGCATCAGTGGGAAGGATATGTTTTGATCAAGAGGAGACTACAGGCAGAGAAATTTTTAATTCACGTGTCCCTTTTTTCCAGTTTTATCTGACAAGCCTTGGAGGACAACTCAAACAAAGTATGGATGAAAAAGACAAAGGATGGATCAACTGGAAGGTAAGCACACCTTTTCAATATTCTGAGAAAAAAATGGAAAAGAAAATTCCGAATTTTGCGAGAAAAATAGATGTTTTATGAGAAAGAGTCAAAACATAACAAGGAAATATTTTCCACGAATGAAATTGTAATGTTACAAAAAGAAAAATATTATGTGGTTGTTTGTGCAGGATATTAGCATTAAATTCGAACACTATAGTGAAGTATTGTCCAAGGAAGATGTGGTCTACCTTACGTCAGACTCCCCCAATGTGCTAACGGAACTGGACCCTAAAAAGGCGTACGTGATCGGCGGGCTGGTGGACCACAACCACCACAAGGTGTGGGCCACAAACGCCGAAAGAAAATAGCCGCGGCGTTACTCAAGGTACGCCTGCCTGCCCACTTTCATTTCTATGCGGGTGCCGACTTTTCAGGGGATCACTTTGGAGCGGGCCCAGGATCTGGGAATCTGTCATGCCCAGCTTCCCCTCGACAGCTTCGTCCAGATGAACAGTCGCAAAGTTCTCGCGGTCAATCACGGTACTGAGACACTCCTCACATTCTCACTTGATTCTCGTCAGGATAAACATTCATTGCCCCCCCCCCATGCTGGACTGTGGTCTTTTGTTTGGGGTCCGGTGTTTATTGCCCGTCAGTGTTTGAGATCATCCTGGCGTACATGGAGAAAGGCAGCTGGCAGGATGCCTTCTTCTCCGTGCTGCCTCAGAGGAAAGGAGCCAAGGCCGTGGCCACAGGCCCAGGAGACGGCGACCAAGATGGCGACGGCCAAGAGGACCAACCGGAGGAGCACTCGGACCTTGAAGCTCGCCAACCAAGCGATAAGTGAGCCCCCAAAAACTTGTCCCATTGGATTATTTATTAAGCGCTTTAGCCTACTTCTGGGCTCGTTCCTCAATTAGATTGTCAACGCAACTTTGCTTTTTATTTCCGCGCTGATGAATTTTGCTTTCCGATTGTGCCAAATTGATTTCAGATCCAATGGGATGACATCATGGATGTGTGTGTTTATTGAAATGCAACACAAACATATTTGAGACGTGTTGAATTATGTCTTAATTTTACGGGAATTAAGTTGCAATATTGAAGGAGGGGATGGGGTTTAATTCTCATTTCACGACTAATAAGATGTAATTTTCTGAAATGGTATTATGATTTCATTCTTGTAAAATTACTTTTTTCCCCTCATAATGAGCCTTCATTCTTTTTTAAAAAATGCTCAGGATGTTACAATTTTGATAAGTTTTTTTTTCTCTTTTCTCATGAAATTGCAATATTACAACTTTAGTCTTGTAAAAAAAAAAGAAACTTTTTTTGAAATACAGCGCATGGTAAATCTGTATTGTAAAGTAATTTTTTATTGCACATAATGCTGCTTCAGTTTTGTCAACAAAAAGGCTCATGATATTGTGACTTAATTCTTGAATTTTTGCTCTTGATTACAAATTGATTCTCTTCAAGTGAACGTTAACTTGTCATTTCCACTTTATTATTACGATACACACACACACACACACACACACATATATATATATATATATATATATATATAAAACATTTTTAATTACGCTGGTCAATTTATTGGCAATTTGTTTTGTGTTGATTCCTAATCTTCCCTCGGGTTTTTCATAATAGTATAATAATTTCATATGTAATACTGTGATATATTTAGTAATATTTATGAATTAAGGATTCAGCAACAGGTGGATTTTTTTTTTTTATGAAATGTCATAGCTATAATTTACAATGCATGGTAAATTCCATGTCGGGCGAGCTTTTTAGGTCAGATTTATCAACAAAAAAATGAAAACATCTCGTGATGTGCTAGAAAATATAGTCAAGACATTTATTACAAATCAGCGTCAAAATATACCTACTTCTCAGGTGATTTTTTTGTTTTTGCACATATGATTTTATTCTTGTAAAATGATTCGTATATGACTAACCTCTTGAATTTTTGTGGTCATAGTTTGACTTTATAAATGTGTGTGTGTGTGTGTGTGTGTGTATATAAATATATATATATATATATATATATATATATATATATATATAATTTTATTTTTATTTTTTTTATTTTTGCGACTTTCCACTGAGAGTTGGAGTTGATGAGCTCTTCAGGCAAGACTGGCTAAAGCAGTGTCCAGGTGCTTTTCGCGTGGTGCCTGGATAAACGTGCGCACTTGCGTTAAATCAAGGCAAGGCCATTAAAGGCCCACGACGCAGCAAGCGTCCGGGGCCGTAGATCAGCGGCAACAAGAGGAACATTGGGATCTATTGCACAAGATGTGCTGAAGCGGGCTTCTATTTTCGTCAGCTTTTTTTTTTTTTTTTGTCCCCGAACCACCTCGTAAATAACGGCACCAAGCGAATTGCCCCGCTTGGCAACAATCAATATTCATTTGTGCTTTGGAAGCGACTTGTTTTTATTCATATACTAGACAGCGAATACATGAATCGACAAAATCATCAAGCCCTCGAGCCGCGTTGTCGATTGCTCTGAAGGACCTTGTCCGCTTTCGATGGCAAAATGCGTTGGGAGGACATTTAGTCGTGTCTTGGAGTACACTTGGAAAGCTGACTGAAGGTCACAAGAGCACACAGTACGGTACGTTGGTCTCTTCGGTGGGCGTGTGTGTGCGTGTTTGCAATTTTGGCTGCTTAACAACAACACAAACAAACAAAAAGTTCTCATCTAGTTTGCCTAAACTATTCACACTATTCAAGAAGCCTGTTCTCGAGAGAATTTACAGCTACATTTGACGCCGTTTTGTATTTTGCATATTATTGGAATATTATATTATTCAAGTCCAGGAGAGTGTTAGTGAAATATTTAATTTGGGCATATAGAAATCACTTTGAAATGGTTCCCACGTTCTCGTTTAGTTACCTATGAACATTTTTATTTTATTATTAAATAGCCTAATGGAGGAGAATCTCTCTCTCTGTGTATATATATATATATATATGTGTGTGTGTATATATATATATATATATATATATATATATATATATCTATATATATATATATATATGGTTTCTTAAATGCGAATCTTCAAAGGGTCACCTTGGAAAAATTTAAATTTCTTCTTGTTTTTGCTCATCACTTGACATCTTTTTTTTCCTCTCACATGACCACTTTTTCACATTACAACTTCTTCCACATGCTACCATTATTTTCCTTCTCATTTTCCAAGCTTAACTTTTAAATTGTGAATTTTTTTTTTCCTTGTGACAACACCTTGGCACGATCCTGGCTTTTCTCCACGTGCCACTTTCCCCTGTAATATTCTGACCTTGTAACGATGCATCTTTTTTCTCGTGACATCACACCTGTTCCCTCATATTACCGCTTTCTCGCAACTTGACTTGTTCAGATCCGACACATTTTTGCAGCATTCTGACTTTTGCATACAATTACACCGTTTTCGCCACATGACTTCTCATGATGAACGACTTTCCGTTATAACATTACAACTTTTCCTCATATCACCCTTTCAACAGCATCCTTTTTTTTTCTTGTACTATACCAACCTTAATCTCATAATATTTACCGTTTCCTCCATTGTTCCCCCTCCTCCCCGAAAAGGGCTAAATTCTCACGAGAACAGGGCGGTACGCTCATCGTGCGGCCAAAGTTCACAGTGTTTTCACGACTCGAGCCTTCAAGTCAACTCACCTCTTCACAGGCTTGGCACAGTTGCAACATTCTGTACAAACAGTTAATATGAGCCGTGCGTTTTCTACTCAGAAGCAAATAAAGCTGCATTGTGGAATGTCGCCACCGGATGAACACACCTCGCATCATCCATCCATCCACTAAGGACTTTTCCAGGAGTATAAATGTATCGTTTCAGTGTAAAAAGGAAGCACTTGAAATCAGTGGGAAATGTCAGTGATGATGAATGGAAGCTTCTATTTCTGATGAGAATTGCTGATAGAAGGTATTATCCCTCGGGGTGTATGGCACTTTTTTCAGGCGGGCTGGGTGGGTGGTGAATAGGGGGCGGGCGTCTAGAACTGCGACGTTTCGGTAAAGGAGATGGCGTCCGTCTTGTCGACGGCGAAGCCCCCGTTGACGTAGGATTTCTTGTCGCACTCCTCGCCGTCTGATGTGGCCTCCAGAGCGAAAGGGTTGGCCACGTCCACGTCCGAGATCAGGTCCATCCTCTCCAGTTCGCTCTTGGACAGCTTCTGGACAATGCCGGCGCCGTAAGCGTCGCCCAGCACGTTGATCATGGTGCGGAAACGGTCTCTGCGGCAGAAGCACTTATGAATTGGAATATTAACAAGACTTCATTCATAATAGTTCCTTTTTTTTTCCTTCAGGATAAGCAGTTCGGAGAATGGTGGCCTCACAGTGCAGAGGTACCGGGTTCAATTCCTGCTCCGGCCTCCTGTGTGGAGTTTGCATGTTCTCCCCGGGCCTGCGTGGGTTTTCTCCGGGTACTCCGGTTTCCTCTCACATTCCAAAACCATCCATGGCAGGCTGACTGAACACTCTAAATTGTCCCTAGATGTGAGTGTCAGCGTGGATGGTTATTCGTCTCTATGTGCCTTGCGATTGGCTGGCAACCGGTTCAGGGTCTCCCCTGGCTACCCCCACAATCCATGTGAGGGTAAAGCGGATCAGAAAATGGATGGATGGAGTTCGGAGAATGGATGGATGTCATTCAAACTTTTTCTACTCATCAAACTTTTTTTTGGTCTTTAAAAATTAACCTTTTTTTCATCCACCCATCCATTTTCTGTTCTGCTTATCCTCACAAGGGTCGCGGGGCGTGCTGGAGCTTATCCCAGCTGTCTTCGGACAGTAGGCGGGGGAAATCCTGAAACGGTTGCCAGCCAATCGCAGGGCACACATAGACAGACAACCATCCGCGCTCACAATCACACCTCGGGACAATTTTGAGTGTTCCAGGAACATGTCATAGATGTTTTGGGAACGTGGGAGGGAACTGGAGTACCCGGTGAAAACCCACGCAGGCACGGTGAGAGGCGGAGAACATGCAATCTCTACATAGGACAGCTGGTCCCGGATTCGAACCCCACACCTCTGCACTGTGAGGCCGACGTGACCCGGTTAGTCAACCACCGAGCCCCCCCGCCCCCCTTTCATCTTTTCTCTCTAAATTATTCTAACCACTCATGGCAAGGAGGAACGGTCTAATGAAAGGGAACACGTTACTATAAAGTGGAAGTGACCGATTTGGCACACACGATGAAGATGAGCAGCTCTCGGGCTAGCTGTATGGAAAACGTATGACTTACAGCAACCAATCCACAGCGACGATGAGCGTGACATCACTGGCAGGTAGTCCAACGGCTGTCAAGACGATTACCATGGTGACCAGGCCGGCATTTGGGACGCCTGCAGCTCCGATACTTGCCACTGTTGCGGTAATGCTACAACAAAGAAGTGACAACGTGTACAACGGCGCACTATATCCAGTGGTCTTAAGTCTTAACAAGAATTATGAAAAGGGTGTAAAATCCAACAATTGTGGTTGAAATGAAACATTTCAGTTGTGCTGTATGTCAAAGCAAAGCAATCTGGCCCCTCCCCGCCATTCCCCTCGCTGAGCTCGCGTCAACATACCTGATGGTGACAATCTGCCCCACGTCCAGGGCGTAGTCGTTGAGCTGCGCGATGAATATGGCGGCGACGGCCTCATAGAGCGCCGTGCCGTCCATGTTAATGGTGGCCCCCACGGGGAGGACGAAGCGGGTGATGCGCTTGTCCACGCGGTTGTTTTCCTCAGCGCAGCGGAAGGTGACGGGCAGAGTGGCAGAGCTGCAACACATTTATTCCCAGGAGGTAGACCGCCGTTCGACTACCGCGACCCTGCTATTGCGCACAATTTTTGGATGTGCAACCACCCAACTTGCTAACACATAATGAGAAAGGCCGCTGATGGGTTAACACTTAGCATAGATGGCCGCCATGTTATAATCCTTTGAGCAATAGATATTTGAACACAAATGATGCAGCAACACGCCTCGACAGACATATTTTAAAATACACACAGGCACATATTCTTTATCCTCTGCAAAAAACCAACAACTTTATTTTAAAGGCGCCTGGCCCAAGAACGTTGAAGGGGAATGAAAAGAATAGTACCTGGAGGAGATCATGAGCGCTGTCACCAGGGCCTGTGCCATCCCTAGCGTGAACGTATATGGATTCTTCCTCACAATTACGAAGAAGATAAGTGGCAGGCAGACGATGGCATGGATGGCGAGTCTATGCGAGAACGAACAAACGAGCCATGAGTGATGTCGCTTCCGTTCGCACATTCAAAGCATGCAGCAAAATAAGTGCGCGTGGCCACTGACGTTCGATAATAGTGTGGGTGCGCTTCCGTATCCTTCTTGAGACCTTACCGCAGAGAATGTATTGACCCTTACTTAGATTTACAGGTGTGAGCTTCAAGCTTTCATTACGCTATGTGCAGGTTGAGCAGTTTCAAAATGTCCTTGCCTTATCTGTGGCCACTGGACGGAAGAATTGGCCCAAATGTCAAGCATAAATCCTCCCCGGCTTACCCACTCAGCACCGTCACCATATAAAGACCCATCTTGCGGAAGATCTCCCAGTCTTCCACCTCAATGATCTTGGCGGCAATTAGGAACAGGATCCCGATTGGCATATAGCTGAAAAAATAAACAGAAAATGAAAGGTACCTTCTTTCATTAGGTCCTTTCGACAACAATTGTTAGCTTCCCACTCGCCGCTCAAAAAAGTACTTTTTTTTTCCCCTCTTGGACACCAAGTTGCGGAAAATGGACTGAAAGCAGGGGCAGAGCTACGTGGAGGCCAGGGGTGGAAATGGCCACCCCACATCTAGGGAAAAATGTTACCTTATTAAGTGTATATTTAGAGAACAACATGATACAAAATGGTGTCAGCTGTTGTGACAATAGATCACTCTGATTGGCTGTTAGCTCGCAAATCAGTGCCCGAGATCGATGTAGACTATCAGATAGCACATAAAGGCATAGCAATGGCAATTAAAATTTTATTATCTCATAAATTAAGGTCAGCAAAACGTTTTTACTTCTTTTTACTTTAGACTTGAACTTGCTTGTATTATGAGTGTACTGAGCAAGGTTTTGGATATGTGTGCAGTTTATTTTATGAAACCCTGACTGCGGATGGTATGACATACAATGACTTCTCAGTCACAGAGGAGTTTTCAGCCAAGTAAAATTACATGTGCAAGTGTGTACACAATTGCATGTGTTATGGCCACCACTGACAGATGTTGCGTCACTCTGGCCACCCTACTGAGAAGTTTCTAGCTGCACCCCTGACTGAAACATTTAACAGACAAATATAAAGACTAAAATTTCACCTGTAAATGTCATTAATTTTGGCTTTGAGTGTGTGTCATTATGCAGCATGCTTTGAAGGGCTGAGATAAGCGCCATCTGGTGGACAAATAGACATTTTGTGCCGCTGGGCGCAAATGTTTAATCTTTTTTAAGATTTTTCATTTAATGTAATTCAAGGAACACAGGTCACAAAAAAAAATCATTTTTTAAAATTCTGCCTAAATACATTCCACACAGCCAAAATGGCTTAAAAAATTAAATTAAGCGACGGCGCATGACCTACCACATGATTATATGCACCAGTTTCATGGTGGCATCGTTGAGGGCATCGAAAAACTCCAAAAGGATGCGTCCCTTTTCTCCCATCTTCCCGATGACAAGTCCGAACGCGACGCAGAACACGATGAGGCCCAAAACATTAATTCCGTCCGAGTACGTCCCGCTGATTTTGTAATCTTGGGTGATGTTCTGATGACAGCAAGCACAAACGTGGAGGCCAGTCATTCACATTTCCGCATATCCCCGAATGAAGTGAACGTATAAATAGGCTGCACCTCAAAGAAAAAAAAAATGTTGTCATCCGCTTGAAAAAACTCAACAAAACAATTTCCCCTGCCCCCTAAACTGTGCAAAATTTTGTAGCCAGGTCTTATGAAACAAATTTGGGAAGGAAATGAACACAGGATGCCGTATGTGACACACCTGTCTTATATAAAGCTGACACTTCTAATGATGTGTCACATTAAACTATAAAATATTAGCCTACCTCCACGGCAGCTATCACAGTGGTCGCGAGAGGAGGAATGTCCGTACTTGCGACTGGAACACTCGGAGGTGGCTCCAACTCCTTGCGCTTGGTTTTATACTATGGCGAAACACCTGTTAGCGTTAGCTGCACTTGACGTGAGGGACACCCGTTAATGGACGTTTGTTTACCTGTTGGAAACAAGCCTGCACCAAGTTTTCCGGAAACATGTTTCTGTTCATCAGAAATAAAAGCGGTTAGAAATACAAACATAAAGCAAAAAAAAGTTTGACACACCTGAGGAGGTCCAGCAGCGTGTCAACAGTGGTGACGTTGGGTGTGGTTCCGGCTCGGTCGATATGCTGCGCAGTTTGAGAGACTCCGGGCTTGATGGTCATCACCAAAATGATGCCTGCCAAGGAACAACAGAGATGCCATCAGGTACTTTTATTTCACCATGTACAGCTGTGGTGTCCAAACTATGGCACAAGGGCAATTTGTGTCCCATGATCCATTTTTTTAGTGGCCCAAGGCATATACGAAAAATAATTTTTGACATGGCCCATGATGCTTTTATTTATTTTAATAGGTGGGGTTAATGTGGGCAGTATTAGAAGTGTAGCTGTCAAAAAAATTGAGGAAGGTGAGTAATGGGCACAACCACGATACGACTAATTTTTCTTGATATGCAATCACACAAATACATTTACAGCTAAAATGATAACAGAATTTTTCTTCATAACACTGTGGTGAATAAAACAAATTCAATTTCTGCTTAGTGTCAATTTGTGAAGATATCATATGAATGTTCTCAAGTATGGTCAGCTAACCACAGACGGTTCTTGTTTTGGTTGTGAATGTGGAGACGGGATTCCGCTGCTGCTTGGTGCAAGGGCGGATGAATTCAAGTGGGATGCAGGGCTCCAGGCCACCCTCAAGCCAAAATAAAATCCTTTGCCATTTTCCTTACAGAAAGCTTTGACGTAGAAGTTTTTCAAAATGACTACATTTTACAAACAGTGTATCATTGATTGATTGATTAATTGATTGATTGATTTTACCATGTTTAATAAGTTAATGTAAAAATGAAGACATCAAATTAGCTGACGATCCAGTTAAGGTCCAGCAGGCAAGTTAGAGTCTTTGAGAGGTTGACGTTTGAAAAAGCAGGGTGGTAAACTTCTAAAGATATCAAATTAGCTGACGATCCAGTTCAGGTCCAGCAGGCAAGTTAGAGTCTTTGATAGGTTGACGTTTGAAAAAGCAGGGTGGTAAACTTCTCGATATGATGCAGAGAAAGGTCTGGATGGCTATTGACGGTGATGATCACCTGCTAATGGCCATCTGGAGTCCCATCTTCTGCATTTCAGAAAATGCGCAAATTGAACTCACCAAGGATAACGGCAATAATCGTGGTGGAGAAATAATAGATGACAGCTCGCAGGCCGATCTTGCCCGACACCTCCGAGTCCAGGGCTGCAACACCTGTGCACATGATGCGCATAACAGTCCATGTGTCATAATATACACTGGTTGCATTTGTGAATCACTCCTGCTTTTACCAGTAATCATGCTGGAAATGATCAAGGGCAGAATGACCAGCTTGAGCATTCGCATCAGAATCTCTCCCGGGAAGCCGAAATACTGCTTGTGGAGATGGGACAGCGAGGCGTATTCTCTGACCGCAACACCCAGACCGATCCCTACAACATGAACATAAACTGCCTGCTTAATGCAACAACAACATTGTATTGGAGGTAGAGGCTCTAATGGTATCCACATAAAGTAGAAGAGTTGTGTTCCCATTAAAAAAA